GGTTCAGTTTTCTACACAACCGATTTTAAATGACCCCAAAGAAAGAAATCCAATGGTGTCAGATCTGGAGATCGTGCTGGCCATTCTATAGGACCTCTTCGTCCTATCCACTGTCCCGGAAATTTCTCATCTAAAAATTCACGAACAGCCATAGAGTAATGAGGAGGAGCCCCATCTTGTTGAAAATGTATGAAATCTTCAATCAAATTCATGTTTCCGTCAATTGGATTTATTTGATTCTCTATTTCATGAGTGATGAGAGGCTCGACGGTATTTTGTAGCATGTTTAGGTAAGTATCTCCAGTTAAATTTCCTTCGATAAACAGAGGACCAATAATGCTATCACCTAAGATACCTGCCCAGACGTTAATTTTTTGGGGCCGTTGAGTATGCCCCTCGCGAAAAAGATGAGGATTTTTATCGTCCCAATACCGGCAGTTATGTTTGTTCACATTTCCATTTAAAAAGAATGTACATTCATCACTAAAACAAATGTTTTTCACCAGTTCCGGATTATTTTGAATATTCTCGGTCATTATTTCACAAAATTGGATTCTTCGATCGGAGTCGTCTTCGGTTAGTTCCTGTACAATCTGCATCTTATAAGGGTAGAATTTGTGCACCTTAAGAGTTCGTCGTACAGTTTCTCGCGAAAGTCCGGTCATAGTCGCTGCTTTTCGAATAGATGATGTTGGGTTTGCACCAAAATGACCTAAAACTTCAATCTGAGTAGCTTCATCCATTATTCTTGGTCCGTCTCTTTTCTTATTTTCCACTGACCCAGTTTCTTCAAATTTAGTCACTAACATTGCAACATAAGTGTGACTGACACGTCGTTCTGGGTGTCGGGCTAACTCTTTCGGCTAACGTGTACACCATTATGAAATCTTTAGTTAAATTCAAAATTTGTAATTTTCTTGCCAAGAAATACTAAAAACGAGACTAAAATAATAATAACCGATCAACAAATAAAGCAATAGAAAATTATTATTTACTAAAAATTGCTGTCATTGTTTTTCCAAAGCATCACTAGATCTAAGAAATTTTTTTTATTTCAAACACTGACAAATTCATCAAATACTCAAATTACTCATTTTTATTACATAAATTGTGAATGGGCAGTTTAAATGCACCAGTGTATGGTATTTCTGAAAAGCATTTTTTAAGAGCTTTCCAATGATGTATCACAAGTGATACGTCACAATTCAAAATTTAGGCATGGGGTGGCGGGGGGTACGAGGTTGAAGTTGGTTCCTTCTTTATACGACCATTTTGCTTCCCCCTCGATTCTACCGAAACGGTTTTGGCCATTTTGTGATACCTCTAATATAAAAAACGATATCGCCCATTGAAAGTTTTAAAAGTGTCACCCTGTATTATTATAGTTTTTCCAACACATACCCAATGATACTGCCGCCAGTAAACCGAATAGAAGCTATTCTTCTCCCTCCACCTCCTCGCATATTACCATTTACACTATTTATTATATATTTTCTCTACTCTCCCGTTTAAATATTTTCGTTAATATCATATCTCATTCCGTAAAAATCCAATATGGCGTCTATATGAAATAAGAAAGTAGTGACCTATAGGTTCTACGAGTACATTTACCGTGTTATAGAAATTTTGATAACAGATTCGGATTCTTCGAAAATAAGTGGCCTTAGAAGGCGCTAACGGAAATTGTCCATTTCCGACCGTAAAATGAAACGAAATTTAACATTTTCAGTTTGTCGATTATCTCAGTTATTTTCAAAGATTTTTCAAAATTTCAAATGCGTTTTTTTGTCACAGAAAGAGACAACTTTGTCAGTATAGCCATATTTACAGCGCAATGAGTACAAGGAATGGTGACAATTTGAGCATACCCACTCACCGAACAACGCGTTATGAGAGAGGTTATTACTATAATTGCATCAAAGTATTTAATGCTATACCAAAGGCAATAAAACAATCAAGGAATATTCAATTGTTCAAAAAAAACTTAAAATTATATCTACTTGAAAAAAATTACTACTCCGTGGGCGAGCTTGATGCGAATTAAACCGGACACACTAACATCTTATTTTCCTCAATGTATAACGTTTGTCCTCTTTATGTTTTTAGTTTGTCTTTTTTTCTATATTATTCTACATTCATGACAATGCCAATGTAAAGGAATTTATTCATGGCAATAAACTATTATTATTATTATTACTATTTCATGTAAACTGTATCTCTCACCGTTACGGAGATCCCAATGGTGAGCCACGAATTTGAACATCACTCTGTACAGCATATTTAGGAACTGTCTAAACAAATAATAAAACGTACTACATTACTTTTGCACACGACAACCAATGGGTTTCAGATTTTGCATGCCTTTAGCGGTGCCAAATAAAACTTTTAAAAACGGGGGGGGGGGGGAGGCGAACGCACGTTCCGCCCTTCATAGTATTCTAATGAAAAGTCCCATCAAAATGAATTGGTTTGTACAACCTATAACTTTCCTGCGCGACTGTTGTCTGCCAACTACCGCTCTTCTTTCTTACTCCTTATTAAAATAAGGGTTTGGGGTGACTGATTTTATCATTCATGGAATTGTAATGAAAGGAATTAATTTCTACCAACCATAATCCTTCTCCTCAACTTCTTATTGTGATCGGTTGTAATTCCTTATATCTCAAGAGCGGATTGTCGGTGGAGGGTACTCACAAAGAAAGATTAGCACGTCTGGAAGAAATATACCAATTAATTGGTGAGGTTAAACGAGACACATCTCCTGGCGATGTTAAAACTGAATTGTGAATATCTCGAAAATGTTGGAGGAAAGAAAACAAATAAACAATATCTAGGAGAATTCCTCTAAGGACTTGATTCTTCTTGCATTATACGTAGATTTTGAATGTTTATATAACCATCCCCCATTAATCATCTAGCAAAAAGTAAACATCGATAAATATACTTGTTATAACCCAACTATTTACTAAGCTATTTCGGTTTAAAAATGGACTTTGTACAGATTTGTGCACAATTTATACTTAATATTATTATTATTATAACATTTTCCTTGATATTGTAAATAATTGGCATTTACTGGCATTCAGAGTCACGTAGAGTTCTCCTCTGTAGATGAGAAAACCCAGAATAATTTCATATCATCTGCAAAAAGCAGGCAAGAAGTGTTCTTTAGGTTCTTGAGGCACTACTGATAATGCTTCTATCAAGTCTGACCTTCCTTCAGCTACCTTTACTGTCAACTTCCTCTCGGATAGATATGAAGTGATCCATTGTAGCATAACTCCGTGAAACCCAAAAAGCTCAATGTTGAAGAAAAAGACTTTTCGTTCAATATTGGCACGATCTTATTCCGGAAGTCGCTCGCATCTTAAGAAAAACATAAGATTGTAGATCGGGATCAAGTGTTCTGTGACCGGCAATCTTTCCTGGCGAGAGTAGGTAATATGTACAAGGAATTTATGTTGACATTATTTCAATATAGACTCGTAATTTTCATAATTTCAAATTTAGTTATATTTCTTCAATTTTTCTCATAAAGCTATTCATAGAACTTAATTGTGGGTTTAAAGGGATATCGATTTTTAAGAGTCCAAGATTATTAAAATTAAAAATTATCCGTTTTTTTGTAACTCTTCACGTGATAAACCGAAATTCCAAGGATGGCAATTAAATGCCACCATTCCAATACTGAAATTTTCAAAAAATTATCAAAGTCCTCGTTTGAGATCGAAGGGACTTCAGCGCATTTTTGTGTGGCAGATCAGTATTCTATTAGCCACTTTCGACTCAACCATCAATAACAGATCTTGTCGAAGGCTACTACATTCACTAACCGCTTCCCACTTTCCGCGTGCACCCGCAATTCGCTTTTAAAGTTTTGACTCCACCATCAGTAAGATCGTGTCGGGGGCTACCACGTTCCCTTTGACGGTACCCACTTCCGACGTTCCGTTCACCCGCAATTCGCGTTTGAAGATTTGACTCCACCATCAGGAAGATCGTGTCGGAGGCTACCACATTCGCTTTGGCGGTACCCACTTCCGACGTCCCGTTCACCCGCCATTCGCGGTTGTAGATTTGACTACACCATCAGTAAGATCGTGTCGCGGGATACCACATTCGCTTTGACGGTACCCACTTCCGACGTCCCGTTCACTCGCAATTCACTTCTATTGGCGACACGAGAAAGAGAGACAGCGATTCGAGATTTACGAAACGTTAAACCGCGTGAGTTCGCCACGGAAGGTAAAAGGCGCCCGAAGTTGACTACTTCTCGAAGACGCGCGCGCGCGCCTCGCAAAAGGTCGTTAATTTCGCCCCTAGGACAAAAAACAAAATTCCGCCACGCAGGAGTTGTGCGCGTTTACAACATCTTTCCGACGATACCAATTTGAAAAGAATCGGACCAAAACTGTAGTAGAAGATAGGAAAAAACTGAAAAACCTTCACGTTAGTATACTACGCTCGAGGATGACGCCCAGATGTCGCCAACCCCACATCATGTAGCCATGTCCTTAAGGTTGACAAATTTCACGGCCCTGTAGATACACGTACACCCGTTGCCTTTCTACAAGAGTTCTTCTACGCGCCCACATTTGCTGCCAGCCAGCCATCCAGCCAGCCAGCCAGCCAAAGTGAGATTAAAAGCTACTTTTTACAAATAAATTTGCAAAAATGCGCTAAAAATATGCGAACAGCGAATTACAGAAATAGACGTGCGCGTAAAAAGTAACATCTTATGCTTTAGAAACGATAACCTGATGGAATTAATTTAGTTTGGGTTGAAAAATTGTTTATAATATAAATAATAGCATGAGGCGAGATGCGAATTTTTAAATATTTTGAGTACAATTGAATCGTTACCACCATCTATTACTCACAGCCCGAACTGCGCGCAACTACATAAAGCATTCTACAGGTAGTTCAAGCGCCAGTGACGTATCTTACAGTATCTTCAAATTTAAAATCCATACTTTTACACATGGCATTTGTCAAGTCTGCGTCGTGCAGATAAGTACTGCATGGTGCGCCGTGTTTGTGGAAGTTGTTACGACTTTTGTTTGATGTAGTTAGTGTTTTTCATTCTTTCTAAACCTTGCAATATATTTTTCAAATGTTCTCCGATGTAAAGTTTAAAAAATAACGCGCCGTAAACTTTTCCAATACAATTTTTGAAAATCAATCAAAGTTGAATCTGATTAGCCCAGCTGTGCAAAAACCAAAATGACAACGGTCGAACTGTACACGAAGGTAAGTAATATGTGTGTAGAAAATCCTTGAGAAAATATTACTCCCTGATACGTGGAGATAAGCTTGTAGATTACTTAATAGTTTTAGACAATGTAACAATTAGTAACTACGGTAGCACTATGGGTTAGTCATATCATATAGGGAAAATAATACCCGACCCTCGAGTTTACGGTATTGCTTTTAATTTAATGATAAATGCAATCAAAAAACCTACAGATAAGCTCATTTGCAATTAATGAACAACATTTCGATTCCGCGCAAAGTATGTAGAACTTAGCAGTCCCTCTTCGTCCTTTGCTCGAGGTACGAAGTGGAATGTTAACCACTTCATTATGCAAGGAGGAAACTGTGACAAAAATACTTGGAAGAATCTTTCATTTTTGAATTGAGAGCAACGGAAGCGAAATACACATCGTTTGGATTTATGAGCGAAAAATTGTTTATTGTTCGTATGTTAATAACTGGTCCATTCACTTCTACTCTTGACCTTTTCACTTGGTGCTTTTATTTCTACTACTCGACTCGTATTAGAAAGTGGTTTAGTTTGAGATAACTGCTATGAAATGCATAATTTATTTCATTCTCAATATTGTAGTATGTTATGACGTGTGATAAACCTAAATTATCTACACTGAACTTTCCCATTATTCTCAAAATTCAGTCAGCAAGACAATTAAATTCGGATAGTTCAACTAGACTACAATTTGAATCAATTATTGCAGCTGGTCTAGCATTGTTGGCAGTTATTTGCAACACACAGTAGAAAATTGCAGGAAAATGCCACATACGCGAATATTTATGCTTGACAGAAGTTTTTTCACAAGAAAAAAAGTCGCTATGTTAAGATAAGCGAAAAGTTACATTATCAAAATATATACAGTGTACATATTTACAATTGTAAAGATATGACCACAACAATCATGAATCTTACACATATCTTTAAATTGAATTTCGCACAAGAATGCCCAAAATCAGAATGTTTGTATTTCGCGATATTTAAAAAAAATTCAAATAAGTAAAAAAATACTGAGGGCAAGTATCTAGTTTATTATTGTCAATGATCTATGTGACCTAAAACGAACGTACAAATAGGCGCCACTTGCTCCTTTACAATAAGTTGCATTGTTAATATTAAATTCAAAAATGAGTAAAAACTACGGAAGAACTACCCTTAAAATCGAATTGAAAATTTTTAAGTGAAAGACATTTTGAAGGGAAGGATATATTATTTTTATATAATTTATTTTTTAGTTCAAACAGCCTAAAGTTGGTCAACGAAGTTTATTGTGGATTAACGAGATTACGATGAGGGCTATTTGTGGGCCACATGTTCGTACTTATGGGTGTATAGGATGGTATGCTATTTTGTTGAAAGGTGAACGTGTTGCAAATATGTTCAGTATCAGGAAACATTTTGCATAAAATATCCACCAAGGTCGGTAAAATAAATGGCTGTTCTCTAAGGGCGGAAAAATTTTGAATTCAAAGTAAATTCAACCGTTAACGGTAGGTATGTCAGATTTCTTTCTGTTGTTTTGGGGGCTTTTTGGTTGAGGCAATAAAATACTTTTTCATCTGAAAACCAGAGTTTTTCAATGTGTTGTCTTCCTCTGAAACTCCTCATGGCTACTTTTTTTATCTGCAGATATTTCTTTGGAATATATTTTTTTAAATCGTCGCTTATTCAAGTCTGTGTTGAACCTGCATGTAATATTTACTTGGCCTAACATTTTCAAAAATTCCCCTTGCCATCGCAATGTTTTCAAGCCTTCTATCACGCAAAACTTTGACGTTGTCCCTCGCGTTGCCCACAATAACTTTTGAGAGCAGAGGACCTTCCTCCTCCGTTCTGCAGATATTTGCACTGAAAGTTTTCACATCACCAGTAGATGCGTCTCGTCTGACGTTCCACTTGCCCCTTACGAGTACTCTCTTCCGACACTTCGTTTTCAAGATATTCGCTGTTCAGGTTTTGACATCAGTGTTACTCCTCCAGATTTCCCAATCGCCCTTTGTTGAGTACCCCCCCCCCCCCACATTGCTTGGTAGTTGTTGACAGACATTTTTTGTTGTATATATCGGGAGTTTTAATTATGTACATGAACTTTTAGGCAAATTTTAAACAAATTATTAATAAACAGGAGACATTTCAGATTTAATTTGAGAATGGTTCCCTATACTTAAATTTAGGACTATTTTGTACCAGGCGCGTTTTTTATAAACAAATGATTTTTTTGCTTTTCACAATATCAATGATAACCATGCAGAGTTGGAGTTTTAGGATCAAAAAACTTGTATTTGAAGTTAAGCATTAACTTTTTTAATGAAAAATCGCCGTTTTTCATCTATTTCGCTAACCGCTAAATTTTTTAATTATCTGTAACATATTCCTATTCAAATGGAAACTCGAATGTAAGACGAATTTATATTAAGAAATATTTACTCGTAAAAATGTTTTCTGTTTAACTTTCAATTTTCCTTCGTTTTGCAATATGTAATTTTTGAACTTTGCAATTCGAGAAAGTGGCATTGCCCATGTAGAATCAATTCGAAACACAAATTTTTCGAATTTTCCGGGGGTTCATTTGACTTGGCGTTGATCATGGTAAGTTTAAAAATGGCGCCATAATCACCTGGTGCAATTTAGTTAAAAAGGCACTTCAAACCAGAAAATCACATGTTGTAATATAAATGAAAACTATCAATTCAGATTAAAAATGCTTGTTAGTAAGCACAAATTAGTCTTAACTTCACAACACGCGTTTCGCGGAGGTTGCATTTGTTTTGGTGGATGAAAAGAAAAAATAATAGCCTACATTTAACCATAAAAATATTAAAAAACTTCGCGGAGATTTGGAATCCTATTGTTCTTGGGGAAAATCGAGAAACAAATTTCCGAGGTTTCGTGACTGATTGTATCCCGACGCCGTAGCAGTATAAACTCTTGTTTTTTAATGTCGAAGTGCGTAAAAATACTTAGTTTGCGTTAAAAAATGATACCTTCTGAAACTTTTTCATTGGGACAGATAAACATATGTTTTATGAACGAAAACTGATAAAACGAACGTGAAAAAAATATAAAAATATATAGGGTGTTCCATTTAAGGAAACCATCTCGACATTACACAACTGTCTGCCTAAAAATATGTTTAGCATACCATAAAACATTTTTTAATTCATTTTTTTTAAATAATCGTAAACATTTAGGCGTTGTTTGGCCGCCTATACAGAAGGTTGACTCGTCCTGTAGACCTACCCCCAAGGTTCCGAAAACTCTGATGTTTATAAACATGCACAAAATACACAGTTGAATGTAGACAACTGCATTTTGGTATTTGGAAAACTGAAGTACTTTGAGTAACGAAGACCTACAACTATAAACTAATAGCCTAATTTACTTTAGCAAAAGTTTGCGGTTTTTAGGTGTAAGTGCAACCGTATAAGAATTTTTCAAAAATTTTTCCCCTACACAAAAATATTTCGACAACATTTCGTATCTGGGCGTTTTTTAAGAATACTAAATTGCCTGGCGAGCGCATTGCAGACATCGAAGTCTAATGCTATAATTTAGTGAACAGGTTACTGCTCTTGCTCTTTCTATCGCATTTATGAAACACAAAGGTCAAGAAAGAGCCGGCGTTTAGCATACTACATGTACTCGTCTGACCGGTTAAAGAGGTGTAAAAAAACGCAAATAACAAAAAGTGTACATTACTTTTGTTTAGTAGAAATTATTACGCTAAAATGGAGGTTGCCTACATACTTAATTTAAATTAAAATTTGAAATTCCCCGTATGCTGCTGGCACGTAAACTTCGTTATCTAATTAAGATCCAGCATTGGCGTATCATAAAAACTACATCTCATTTAGTGTTTAATGCTGCTAATAAAAGCAGTAGTTTGTTTCGAATGAGAGATCGTTTTGTTTAACGTATGCGGGAAAAATATTCCCAATCTTTTAGGCGACTTACTCAGACCGATTCTCAAAAAATAAGAATAATGCCTTAGATTCTTTAAGTTCTTCTAATGTTTCGGTTATTTCAGATTAAGAAATTTTTTTGAATTTCCCAAATTTGTTGAACAGCGTATTGTTAGTATGGTTTACACAAATTCTTGTAATAAAATTATCAATATCAAACGTTTCTAAGGAGAGTCGCAACATTTCTGAGAGCCCAAGATCCTAGGGCGTGTGTTAACCTCTCCGTATGTCTGAGGACTACTGAAAGAGTAAATTTTTAGCTTAGCTTTCTAGCGATTTTCTCTGTATATCAACCATGTACATATTTTTTGTTGTTGTCGCACAGCAAATTGATTGCTCTTTTCAAATATCTTAAAAAAAACATAGGCATTGCATTTAGAAATCAAAAGTTGCATCGATTTCCAGAAGTTGGACCAGAAGTTATAAAATTATATTTGAAAAGTTTTTCGTATCTCGCCAAATAAAAGAGATATTGAAATGATCCTCTTATCTCGAACGCACTGTATACCTATCCATTGATGATGTCAAAATATCCCGAAAACGGTTTGTAGGAGGTAAGTACTCTCACAGGTAAAATGACTCGTCTGGACGCCGCATATCTATCTATCTTGAAAACGAAGTGTCGGAAGAGAGTACCCATATAGGGCAAGAGGAACGTCAGGACCAGACATATTTATTAAGCGACAGAGCAAAGCGATGCATGCCTTATAGGGGGTCGTCTGTCCGTCTGCCCGTGAACACGATAACTGTCAAACGCTTGAACCTGTTCGGGTCAAAGTTTGCAGGGGTCATCCCGCCTTCATTTTTTATTTCTGATCCACAAAGTACATTAAAAATAAAAAGACCCGTGTGTCCTCCATTTTTATTTGCGAGTAAAATAAACCCAAAATAAATTATTGAAAAGCTGTGTTTTTAGTCCGAATTTGAAACGCTTCAGACTAAATACGTCACAAACCTACAACCAATCACGAAGAAGTGAGCTGGCAACCTTACGCGAGGGTCTGACGTTTGTCACATTTGACGTTTTGAGAGGGATGTTTAACTGCATCTAGCACGAAAGTGACAAGTGCCTGTGACAGATGACGCAAGTTATAAATGCCATTCTCCTGCAATATTGCCAAGTCGTTATGTCATCTGAATGGTTCTAGGAGCTGATTGGTCGGGCTTATTACGTCACACAGCACGCCACAATCATATCGTTTTGAATAAACCTTTAAAACCGCACATGTTCATTATTTTTTTGCTTATCAGCTTCTACTTTTAAATAAACTTTTACTGTCCAAAAAAATGTTTTATGGTTTCAGGTACACGCTTATTAAATTAGAACTGCGGAATTCAACTATACTGTAAACCCCCATTGCGATGTAAAATAGAAAACTAAAAACTAACTTCAGAAAGAAACTTTAAATTAACCCTGTATTAACATACGGTCCAAATGACGACGAAATAGTAGAAAGAAAGGATATATGCTGGGAAGAATGAAATAATTTAGTTGAAAAATTAAATGGCATACATCTAGAAGGTACAAATTATATTATGGAGAAAACCACAGAAACAATAATGGAAACATAGCAATGAATAGAGTATTTGCGATGAACACATTTTTCAAATGTAAAGATCTTCACCAAGGTAGCAGATAGTAGAGAGCAGAACTAAGATAGTAGATGAAAGCCAAAAGAGGGCTAGAAATTCAGATCGTTTCTTATTTTTTTTAAACACACTATTGGTACCACTTTCAAAATATTCGACGGTAATATGTTTCAGGACATTCTCTACGCGATGGTGATATCAGATTTTCAACTGGACCAATCATTTCAAAATGGCGACTTTCGACTTTTTAAAAAAATAGAATACCATTATCTATTCATGTGCTACTAGATTAAAATGTTAGTTTGCTTTTGGATAGGGAAATAATTGAATTTTAACAAAAACAAAATACTACAAAATACTATCGTAAAAAGAACATTTTTAGGATCTCAATAATAATAAAAAATGATGTTAAAATAAAAGTTGAAAGTGATCATTTTGAAATAATTGGTCCAATTGAAAATCTGATATCACCGGCGTGTATCTGATTTTTCAGATTTTGTTCCATAGAACTCTTTAGATTTTTCCTTAACATATAGTACACGCATCGCAATTATTCACTAATTACGAATTTTGCATTAAATAATACGTAGGTAATTGCAGGATATAAAACACATAAGTGGGACAAACTACACATTACTGTAATTTTTTATTCAATGACACTATTTAAAGAAACTAAAGCTACTTTCAAGGATATTCGAAATGGTCGTATTAGGAATAATCCCATTATAATATGCTCGTCTCGGTCTCGGCCGTCTAAAATGGAGCACAAAAAATAGTTCATTTTCTAGCTCGTCCATTCATCTCAAAAAGATGCGCAAGACATCAACCTTCAGGTGTGGAATGCGTCCCAAGTGTTGCCGTAGTCTCAAGGTATTACCATTATTGTCCAAAACGGAAATTTGAACATTATTTCATACGTGAACTATATTATTGTAGATGTCACGAATTACAGTACCGTTAAAAATTCAATGAACTGTGGAATTGACGAGTGAAATGACATTCCTGCAATAATAAGACAGACGATTTAGTTTCGGTTGCAAACTTTTTGTTTACCTTAACCTTTCATCGGTAATGTCAAGATCTCGCTGATTAATTATTGAACGAGTTTCTTTAATTTATTAATGAAATCTCGGAGGGTGTCAAGGTACCTATAGGCTATACCCGTCTTCCGCAAAAACGCATTCAAGATACGCAATTTATGCTGATATGATAATAAAGAGAAACGGCCCATTTGTACTACCTTGGGACACCTCACTTTTTACAGAAATAATACTAGAGTCGATGTGATTAATTTGGGCGCATTTCCAATTGTTCATACATAATTTTAAATGTTACAATCGATGTTATGATCCGACTCTTCCCTAGTTCAAATCCCTTACCTTACCTTGACATTCTTCGTGTTAAACTATAGAATTGTCGCTATTTTTGTAATAACAATCTACTATACATGGCCATCATCATTTCTCAACGAAGCACCGTTTTGTGGTTCGTTATTTTTAAAGTATTAAACCAACTAAAAAAGGTTTCGCGAAAAGCACCATATTTATTTCGAAGACAGAAAATTTAGACAAAAAGGTCATATCTCGGCCATTCCCCAATTGTATTGTAGTATTTCAATTGCAAAACCTACATTTTTAAAATTTTTGTTCCAGGGCACAAAAGTGTGGATTCCCCACCCAATTAAAGTGTGGGAAGGCGGCGAACTTTTAGAAGATTATTCGCCAACACGACCTACACTGAATATACAAACCGATGAAGACAAGGAAATCAAAACGTTGTCAATAAAAACAGAAGCGAATTTACCCCACCTAAGAAATCCGACAATTTTAATTGGCGAAAATGATCTGACATCGTTGTCATATCTCCACGAGCCGGCAGTTTTGTACAATTTACAAGTTCGCTTTTGCCAAGACAAAAACATATACACGTACTGCGGAATTGTGCTGGTCGCGATAAATCCGTACGATGATCTTCCAATTTACGGTACGTATGATTCACAAAAATAGATTAAAAAAAGGTATTTTTAGAATGGATAGATACCCATAGATAGCAAACGAATGATGATAACGAATAAGATGCAATTTTATGACAACATTGATACTATTAGTTGAAATAATTAAAAAAAGTCATTTGCCCCCCCCCCACTTCAAATAAAAAAAAAACTGAAAATAATTATCAAAATCTACATTCTCTGTCTTTCACACGCAACCCCGTTAGAACTAATTCCTCCACCTTGGTAATAACAACTGTATTTTTTGCTAATGCCTTTAAAGCGGGCAATCAAAGGATAGAAAATAAACCGGATAGTTTCTTTTGCCAGCATAGATTAAATTACCGAACAAAAAAAGCAAACAATAAGCATTAAAAGCTTATCACTGACGTAAGCGCAAATAACATCTAAAATGGATTGTGATTTATTGTGGATTGTAATCCCTATTTTTAGAAAAATGATGAGTCACAGTTTTCCAAAAAAGAGATTGCATACATTTCTCGAAAATCAAAGGATATTCGAGGAAATTTGATCCACCCATTTTCAATGACACCAGTGTTAAGATCTAGTTATCAGTACCACTGACGGTACTGTTCTTTAATAAATGTAGCAATAATACACGTCTTCGGGAAATTCAAAATACCCAAAAAGTGTATACGATTATTTCAAAAAACCGTTTTTTCTAAAGTTTCTGGGACTCCGAGAAGACTAAATTTTTTATTTTTTTTTTCTAAAAAGATTGACAAAAGGTTGAGTAAAAAGTAACCCAACGCTGTACCACTCACTGACGTAGGTGCAGGTGTTCCTAATTTTGCTGTAAACACAGGGTGTTAAGATTTTTAAGTTTTTTCTTAAGTTTCCTGCAGCTGAAGGGCTTATATCATTGGTATTTTAATGCTGGTGAGAATCTATAGGGTGTTGTTATTTTCAGGGGTTCGCCCCTGAACTTTTTTCCGGCGCGCCACTGGTAGATTGTGAAATATGAATTTAATTTTTTGATTTGCTTAGAAACCGTTTGCTGTCATTAATTTTTTCGTATCTGCGACCGCTATCGAGAAAAAAATAAAATTGAATTTTCGGTAGTTGGCTAAATGAAAGTACCTACAAGTTTTAAAATTTTTAACTTACGGAAACTTTCAAGAATAACCCACTGATTTGAGTTTGCACAATTTTGCTCCTATATTTTGTCCGATATCTTTTATGGTCAAGGAATTACGATCCGAGGGGTCTTAGAGATGCTAGAGACTCCCCCCCCCCACTAAATTGAACTTGTCTATTCCCACTTCCACAATAAGAAAAACGACGGATTTCAAAATTACTTACAAGAAATAAAGCATCTATGTAAATTTTATTAGCGTTGTCGTATAAGGGTTGATATCAATCGCAAGATTTGATATATTTAGGCAGAAACGCCCTTAAATTAAACTTTTACGTCCGCACTTAGTATACTAAATAAAACCACTACGTTTGAAAAGAAATGTAGGCAACCTGTACGCATTTTATCGTTTTTTGGCGCATTTTTGTGTAGCTTTTAATCTCAGTTTCGTCGGCTGGCTGGCTAGCAGCAAATGCGGGCCCGTAGAAGAACGCTTGTAGAAAGACGAGGAATGTGTCCTACTTTGGTCGAGACTGCAGTGTATCGCAGCTGTTTTTGAATCGATTTTAGCTATTTTCTAGCTATTATTTGTACGTAGAATCCAGTGGCGTAGTCAAAAAACATTTTCGAACCCCAGTTTCATAGATACGAATTTTTTTAATGCGAGATTCTGCGTCAATTTCTTCCATTCTTCCTGATTACATTGATGTGTGACAACCTAAAAAATAAAGTTTTTATATGTAGTTCACCAACTTTGGATCAGATCTCAGAGACGGTGGTCCCGCGAATTCTTGATTACGGTACTGAATTCTATCGGTCACGAAAACAGCAAGTCCCGATCTTGAAAAACAGCTGAGGTACACTGCAGTCTCGACCAAAATAGGACACTGTACATGAACCTATCGAGGCCGTGTAATTAACAACTTTAGGGACGGGGCTACGTGATGTGGGGTCGGCGACATCTAGGCGCCATCCTCGAGCGTGTTATACTAACTTTATGATTTTTCTTCTTCTACAGTTTGGTGCGATTGTTTTCAAATTGGTGCTGTCGGAAAGGTACTGTAAACGCTCATATCTCCCGCGTGATGGAATTTTGTTTTTTTTCTTAGGGGTGAAATTAACCACCTTTTGCAAGGCGTGCGTTTTCGAGGGGTAGTCGACTTTGGACCCCCTAATGTTTCTTAGAGCTCGAATCGCGGTTTTTCATGTCACCAATAGAAGCTCGAGCTATGAGAAGTGTACCCAAAAATTGAGTACTATTTTGTGGAGTTTTTTTCCCACCAAAATCCGAATTGCGGATGAACGGGAGTGTGTACCGACAAAGGGAAATGTTAAAACTGGCTAATCGGCGACATAAAAATGCACTGAGCCTGAAGTCTCTTCGGTCTCACACGAGAACTTTGATAATTTTTTTAATGTTACATAATATATGTGTAGCTATCTTGGTTCTGACGTGAAATATGCAAAATTTATTGCTGGCTGGTTATTGCCAACTTCACACGTGCTCAAAAACAAAGTAAAATACAAAATTAAATTATTTATGTTTTTAACGAAATTTTGTATTTGCTCATGAATTTACTTTCCGCATATACATATATGTACATTTAAAAAAATACAAAAAGCCCATGCTTTCTTTGACGTGGGCTTACCGGTTTTTATCTCGTGGGCGCCAAGATGTTTAACTTTAGCGTGGATTGTTATCTTTCTTTTCTTTCTTTTTTTTAATAATGGAACTGACACCAATGGCGAAATTCAATTTTGTAAGCTAACGTTTGGATGTTCAACGAGTAACAATTAATTATTTTTTTAGATGTTGATACAATACAAGCATATAGAGGCCAAGCGATGGGGGACCTGGACCCCCACATATTCGCCGTCGCCGAAGAAGCCTATACCAAACTGGAACGAGAACAGCGCAATCAAAGTATCATAGTTTCGGGCGAGAGCGGTGCTGGAAAAACAGTTTCCGCAAAGTACACAATGCGATACTTCGCAACGGTTGGGGGTAGCGCAACTGAAACGCAAGTTGAGAAGAAAGTATTAGCGAGCAGTCCAATAATGGAGGTTTGTACAACTCGTCAAGCACAATTTGTAAGGCCTACATTTGTAGGCGATCGGAAATGCAAAAACGACGCGTAACGATAACAGTTCTCGTTTCGGAAAATTCATCGAGTTACAGTTTAATAAGCAATATCACATTATTGGGGCGTCGATGAGGACTTATTTATTAGAAAAATCGCGCGTCGTTTTCCAAGCGCCGAACGAACGAAATTACCATATTTTTTATCAATTGTGTGCCGCAAAGGATCAATTGCCGCATTTAAAATTAAGTAAGTACCCGCGCACTTCGAGCTAACTTCAAACTGTGCCACTTACAGGAGACCAAGAACACTTCTACTACCTTCACCAGGGCCAAAGCGCTACCATCGACGGAGTCAGCGACCTGAAATACTTTCAAGAAACTGTCAACGCTCTTGGGCTGCTTGGTTTTACCAGTGAGGAGCAAAGGAACATCTTTTCAATATTGGCCGCCATTTTGCATATGGGAAACATAAAGTTTTTTGACGCAATTATCTCCACTGAAAACGAGCAAGATCAAGAAGGAAGCGGAATTCATGTAAGTTTAAAAACTTCATTCATACAGTTGCGTTTCGACATCAAAGCTGTACATCATCAGCACCTAAATAGTTTTTTCCAATACCTACATTGTTTTATTGAATTTGATTCCTAATTTTTGTGCATTAACAGGTAATGTTAATCCCTCATTTTTGTTTTTTGTTGTGAACAATTCATGGAAAAATGGATTTAAATCGGTCGGTATTGGAAAAAATCTCGGAAAAAAATACTATAAGCAGCACTGGATGAAACTAGTTTTTGTTCCCTTAAGAATATTAAAGCCCTCGACAATCCTCCGGCTTTAAACCATTCTCTCAGGAACAAAAACTCTTTTTAATCCCTTGTTACTTAATATGCTATTAGAAATTGTTAGTAAAATTGTTTGAAGATGTGCGTCAGTTTTGCAAATGTTTTGATATAATTGGGAAATGCGTTCGTTTTATTGTGTGTTTTTTTTTAGGAAAACGATGAAGGTTTGCAAATAATGTCCGAACTTTTGGACATAGACAAAGACCAAATCCAACAGTGGCTGTGCACGAAGAAAATTGTTTCGATGCGAGAGACAATACTAAAACCGATGTCCGTCGAACAGTCGAGCATATCACGTGACGCTTTGGCCAAACACATTTACGCCGAACTGTTCAATTGGATCGTCGCCCTAATAAATAAATCTTTGGAGACAGACGTTGCGATTCACAAATTCATAGGCGTACTCGATATTTACGGATTCGAGACTTTCCAAACGAACTCGTTCGAGCAGTTTTGCATTAATTACGCCAACGAAAAATTGCAGCAGCAGTTCAATTTGCACGTATTTAAATTGGAGCAGGAGGAGTATATCAAAGAGGAAATCGAATGGAAGATGATCGACTTTTACGATAACCAACCGTGCATAGATCTCATCGAAACGAAATTGGGCATTCTAAGTTTGCTGGATGAGGAATGTAAAGTTAGTATTACAAGCGTTTGGGGTAACCGACGCGACTTGCTTGCTTTCAGATGCCACGAGGCAGCGATGGATCCTGGACGGAGAAGCTATACGCGAAATGTGTACAGTACAGCCACTTTGAAAAGGCCCGATTTGGCACATCGGCATTTGTCATCAATCACTTTGCAGACAGGGTCCAATACGAAAGCGGTGGATTTTTGGAGAAAAACCGAGACACCGTCATGGAGGAACAAATAAATGTGATCAAATACAGCAAAAATGATTTTATTCGTCGATTATTTTGTAAAGACTCTCACAAATTAAGCGTACCCGGAACCAAATTAAAAGTTGTCGCCTCAAAACCGATAATCGAGTCTTCCAAAAGCCACAAGAAATCGGTGGGCTCCCAATTTCGGGATTCCCTAAATTTGTTAATGACAACACTAAATGCGACCACACCTCACTACGTGCGTTGCATCAAACCCAACGACTCAAAGGCCGCTTTCGAGTACAACCCGCAAAGAGCAGTTCAGCAACTAAGAGCGTGTGGTGTTTTGGAGACCATTCGAATATCGGCGGCAGGTTTTCCAAGTCGGTGGGCGTACATCGACTTCTTTTACCGATACCGAGTCCTGTGTAAGTTTGAGGACATCAATCGAAGCAATATGAAGCTCACTTGTGAGAAAATTTTGAAGATTTACATTCGGGCACCCGACATGTATCAGTTTGGCAAATCAAAAATCTTCTTCCGTGCAGGACAAGTCGCCTACTTGGAAAAACTAAGAGCAGACAAGCTGAGAAAATGTTGCATAATTGTACAAAGTACAGTGCGTGCTTTTATATACAGACGAAAATATCTGAAGATAAAGAAATCTATTTGCAACATCCAAAGATATGGGCGAGGAGTTTTGGCTAGAAGGTAACAAAACAAAAAAAAACACTTTGTTTAACTAACCGCTTATTTGCGCAGATTGGCAGATAATTTAAGGAGAAACAAAGCTGCCATCACGATACAGAGGTACATGCGTGGATGGATTAAGAGAGTACAATACCAAAGGCTCGCCTCTCTTTTGCAAAGGCTACAAACCAGAGCTCGCGGCTTTTTGGCGCGCAGAAGATTTATGGTTATGAAGTACAATGCAAAGGTTCGTTGCGCTTGATCTTTACAAAGGTTTCAGTGATTTTCTTGCAGGCCATCATTATCCAGAAATTTGCCAGAGCGTGGTTGGCTCGCAAACATTACAGGGAACAACTCAGGCACATTATCATTTGTCAATCCGCGATACGTAGATTTTTGGCTAGAAGACTGTACAAGAAGCTTAAGATTGAAGCGCGCTCTATCGATCACGTTAAGAAATTAAATAAAGGATTGGAAAACAAAATTATTAGTTTGCAACAAAAGATCGAGGAAATTAATAAAAACAGTAATGAACTCAAAGGTTATAAAAATGAAGCTCTCGACTTAAGGTGAGTGCTAAGTCCACATTTTCAGGATTTTCGTAAAGATTTACCACGTTCAAAAAACAATGGCATTTTCAAAATAAAATTATTTGAAAATACACAACATGCACTAAGAGCGAAATAAATGAGTATTTTCACAAAACAATTCATAATTTAATAAAGGCTAGGGGTTGAATCATTATAAATACGTATAGAGGGTTGCTAGTCGATTCCCTTGTCACAGCCAATCACAGAAATAAAAAAATGTGATAATATACAACCCCTATCTTGCACTAGTAATGAAACACATGAGTATTTTAAATCATCTGCTCATCTGTTTCTCTCTATATAGTCCGGGCGAGAAATTCGGTAAAGCGCATTATTCTAACGGCAAATCTTGAGACATTTTGGTGACAAGTGTTTTTAGGGTACCCTGCTGAATCCGATTTTGCCTGTCACCACCTCGAATTTTGATTGCTAAGGCCTCAAATCAAGATGGCGCCCAAAATGGCGACTAAAACTCACTTTAACATTTTTTTCTTGTTGAAAACAAAAATATTATGATGATTTTTATGTAGGACATAAGTTTTGCCACTTAGTACTAATTTATGAAAAATTTTGAAGCCAAAAAGATTTAAGATGGCGACTGAAATAGAGCTCCAAATGCCGCGTTTTGCAGTATTCTTGATTTATTCAACCTTAAGGGCCGGTTTTACAATTACACTTTTACGGAGAATAAGATATTCTTGGAATAACTGCCATAGCGACATGTATGCCATTGGTTGACAAAATGGTAACCAACGCAACCGTCGACATTTATTCTAGGTATAGCTTATTCTCGGTATATACCTGCATTGTAGAATCGGCCCTAAGTGAGCAAAAGAATTATAATTTGTTTACAAAGTGCCTGCTTAAGTAAAAAAAGAAATACAAAAACTTTACTTACACGTTTTCAAAAATGGCAGACAAGATGGCGCTTAGTTTGACTCTTTGTATGCGATATACAGGTAGTATTAAAATCATTATTTTTCGTTTAATTTCATATTATTTGTTACCGTATACAAACTCTGTATAAAAAAATAATCGAAAACAAAATTAAAAAAATAGAAATGAGCAAAAACATTATAGGCTTTATTCGGATTCGTCACTTGAATCCGAAGATTGCACAAGCTGAGTTTCTTCGCTTTCGTTGTTGGTGCAAACGCTATATTGCACTTCTCGTGCACAGCATGCGTTTGCCTTTCGAATTTACAGTTCTCCGGCACTTGCACTCTTTCTTGCAACCACAGTGTACCAAACTTTGGCATGCTTTTGGCACGGCACACCCACGGTCAAAATATTTCGAACTTGGTATATAATAATTGAACCTAGCATTTTGTATTATACTATGCTAGCATGTAGCCAGCAGATTCGCGCTATCGGTAATTTTGCGCGCGTTGCGTCGTCGCCGCGATGGAAGTCCTAAATTATGCGTGCGTTTCAAACGCTGTATAAACAATATTTGGCGTTCTATTTGTAAAACTAAAAAAACTTTATAAGGATCTTATAACTATTAATATCTCCCTAACGCACTCAAAAAGATTTGTATAATTGCTATTAAAATATCATCAAAAGTCATAAAAATATTCGCATTTTGGGAATCATTTTGTTTTATTTTTTTCGCAAATTGTTATTATTAACAATGGTGGGTAGAAAAACTCATTTTAACCTATTTGTATCAACCCCATGTAAAAAATGCAAATTTTTTCTTTGCAACAAAAAAAATTAGTTAACACAAGTTTCTACCGTCATTTTGACCAACATCTTAATTTGTTTTTGGCTACATATTTTTTTATACGATTGTAATAAATAATGAAACGTATGTACTAGATAAAAATCATGATAATATCTTTGGTTACTACAACAACAAATTTTAAAGTGAGTTTTAGTTGCCATTTTGGGCGCCATCTTGATTTGAGGCCTTAGCAGCCCGAATTCGAGGTGGTGACAGGCATAATCGGATTCAGCAGGGTCCAATTACCCTAAAAACACTTGTCACCAAAATGTCTCAAGATTTGCCGTTAGAAGTTAAGATCTCAAAATTCTCGCCCGGACTAATACTTACTCTTGAAATAGTCGCATGTAGTGGTTTACATTTTGCAATGTATATTTTTCAAAAATCTCTGTTACAATACAATGTAGGTATCTTTTTTTAGAAATAAATTGGTTACATTCAAAGCGCTTGAAATTGAGATTAAGAAAATGAATACACTTTTGATAGAGAAAAATAAGACTATAGATAAATTAGAGGACGAATTGAGAATCGAAAGAGACGAGAAAATGGACTTGGTTCAGGATCAAGAGAAGTTCAGAAATGACGCCGAAATGCAACAGGAAGTATGGTCGCAGGAAACATCCAAATTGCGCAAGGAAATTGACAACATGACAGAGATCGCGTCAATGAAGGAAAAAGGCGCCGAAGAAAATCTCAAAGTGCGTATCGAGCAAGAGAAGAATCTTCTGCTCAACGAACACGACAGCGATCGACAGGCATATCAAAAACTTCTTCAGGAATACCACTGCTTAGAAATGCACTGTGAAACGTTACAAAAGCAACTGGAACCCCGATTGCCGACCCACGCGCGAAATATTAGCGATCTCAGTAGTATCAATATGGAAGAAAGTATCAATCTCAGTGAAATACCTGAAGATCACGGTTACGGTTCGGTGCGATCGAATAGTTCGGCCTCCGCCTCGAGGGGTAAATTAGATAACATCGAATGGAACGACAGTACGCAAAACGAATCTCTAATAAATGGCACTAATATTCACATTACAGACCTTACAAATGGCGACGCGGAACAGAAGAGCGAAGTAAAACAAGACCTTGGGCTCATCCTTCGACTGCAAAGACAACTCGAAAAGACAACGAAATCAAGAAATCAGCTTCAAAAAAGTTTAGACGAACTGAAAGTCTCCCCCAAAATGCAAATGGCTTCCAAAGCAATAGAAGATGCCAATCATATCGCTCAACTCGAAGTGACTTGCTCAGAATTGAAGAAGCAACTATTCGAACTCGCCGAAAGCGTCGCGGACGGAAACGGAAAACCCCAACTGCAGTGCTTGTTGACCGAGCTAGAAAGGCAAGGGGAAGAAATTGTACAGCTGAAGAACGTCCTTGCAAGTCAAACCAATAGCATCAAGTCCATCGTGAATTGCAACTCGAAAACGGGCGACTACATCAACGAGGACGGCGAACTTACCCTCGCCTACGAAACTCAAAAAATTATCAACAAACAGCTTGAGCTCGAATTGCAAGACGAGAAAGGAAGAAACGAAAGTTCCGAGAAAGAGCTAAAGGCCGAAATCGAAAGGTTACGCGAGGATTCGATGAAAATGCAACGAATTTTGTCGGAGAACTTACACGAGTCCCAAATGGACATGTACCTTCAGTGTGAACTCACTCGAATAACAAGCGAGAACGCGGATTTATTAGATAAAAACGACGCACTAAATGAGACCATACGAAAGTTGAAGAAACAGCTTAAAATCTTAATGAAGCAAATCGAAGATAGAGGCATAGATATCGAGGAGCACATTAAAAGCAGCGAGAGCAAAAACATGTCGCACGAGCGTATTCCTTCGGTTAGAAGAAAGGAGAAGTACCTGGGGATGTTCTCCTACAGTCACGGAGAGGAAGACGGCATAATGAGGCAGCTAGTTATCGGTAAATGTTATAGTCATGAACTAAGAATAACAGATGGCTATATCTCGGAAAATTAGTGCACTCCAAAATACAGGGCGTTTCAAAAAGAATCATCCGATTTTAAAAATTTATTGCTATTCATCTATAAGTCCGATTTGATAGAACAATGTACTGTTAGTAAGAGGAAGCTCTCGAGTTTCGCGTGGTTTCCGCTAGGTAGCAGTAGCGCGCTTCTGTCAACGCCCAGCTCAGTTATTGTCAAAATGGCGTCTAAACAAATTATAAACCTACAAAATCGGATGATTCTTTTTAAAACGCCCTGTACTTCGGAGACCAAACGAGGCCGATTTGCACACAGATATAGCAGTCTAACGTTCTTATTTCGATACCCTGTACATTGTTCTTTAATTTCCACGTTTTTCTAGACCTTAAACCGAGAACCGCCGTCGGTTTACTGCCCGGGCTTCCGGCATATATTGTGTTCATGTGCGTCCGGCACACAGATTACATAAGCGATGAGAATAAAGTGCGCAGTTTGTTGGCGGCGTACAGAAATTCGGTACGAAAAACTATAAAAAAGAAGCAGGACGGTTTCGAAACAATGACCCTCTGGTTTGCAAATACGATAACGTGAGTGTATTTTATAAACGCGTAAAATGTAACGATCGAATTGTTTCAGATTAATGAACCTAATGAAGCAATATAGCGGAGATCAAGCATTCCAAGAGAGCAATACGGATAAGCAAAATAGTCAATGTTTGAGGAATTTTGATCTGTCCGATTATAGGCAGCTTTTGTGTGATACTGCAGTGTGGATATATTTTGGTAAGCAAGTTTTCTCTGAAAATTCTTTTTTATTATACCTGCATCACAATCTCCGGACATAAGAGAGAGAAAATGCAAAATAGGAGAAAAAAAATTGAAACTTTGCCACCCTGTATAACGAAAATGGCGCCCTTTAAACCCATATATATTTGCATTTTTTAGCGCATTTTCCAACTCATATGAGAAGGCGCTATTATGGCCACTTTGTCCGTCCGAGGTCTCTTCACTACGCCTACAGTTTTTAAGATGTTTAGTTGGTTCTTTTTGAATTCGGTACCTTATAGCTCTGGCACCTCAAACCAGAAAAATCTTGACGATTAATGTGCGCATGCGCAGACTCGCCAACTTCCTTATTTACAGACATTTTTTGAAATTTTAATCACAGATGCTTCCAGTAAAGAGAAGCATATCGCATATTGTAAAAATCATATTATGTGCGTTTTCGCCAAACTGTGCAATGTCAACGTTCTTATTTATATTTTTTCGAAATTTTAACCACAGATCCTTCTAGTGAAGCCAAACATATCGTATATTTTAAACCTCAGGTGTGCCTATGCGCAATGCTAAGTTTCTTATTTATAACATTTATCCCGTACCTTATTTTCCTTTGTACACATAAATAGGGCAGTAAGGTTATGGAAACTAGAGGGCGATATAAATGTGGAAAGAATTGAAGTTTTACTAGTCGAATTTAATATACCTACTCTTGGTTTTTTAGAAAAATGAACGAGCAACTAATGATGGGTTTATACAATCATTAGCATTAGTTCACTATCAAATATAGTAGGCTATTAAACGATCCTTTTTCAATAAATCTACTACTTGTTATAATTATATACAGGGTGCTCACTATGTATGGAATATATCTCAGTAAATAATGACTGTATTCAAAATGTTTCTATATAAAAGTTGTTTAATATTTTATTTTCCATAACAAGGTTGTTTTTCTTTCAGAAAACAAATTAGTAACGAAAAACAATGGAATTTTTCTACCTAAAGTGTACCCTTTCATTAGGCTCATTTGATAGACAATTTGATGACGTAACATGTTAGCACCCTTATACAAGTAATTCAATTTTTGTTTCAAGTTTTTCGTTCGGTCACTGTTTTGAACATTCGTTGTGTCTTCAAGTTCATTTGTTTTATTGTGATCTATGATATCTAGATTAATGATATTGATGCAATTTATAGTTTGAAAGACTCATTGAATCTTAACTGCCAAAAAGAAAACAGTTGGTAGTGTTAAATAACAAAAGGTCCGAGATCGCAGAGCTTAAATGTGAGGTGCCACAGGGATCTGTACTAGGCCCAATTTGTTTCTAATCTATATAAACGATCTAGCAAAACATGTACCTCCCACATTTCAAACATATTCATTGTCAAGTCGATAATGATATTACCGAAGATATTACAATACCAATTAAAATGCAAAGTATTAAATTTTTCCTATTATTTAATTAATCTACAAAACTACTGTGCCTACACTTGAAGTCTTGAAGTGTAATATACTAATTCAATTTCCGGCAACGTTTATGCAATTTAATGAGCCATTGCCATCTCTGTTTAAGAATACTTCTTAAATGGCTTTTAACAATATTAATGTTTTACAGTAATTGTGAACTTCTTATCCGACCATCTACACTCCCTGATAGTACCAGCAATATTAGAGCACGAAGAGATTCCAGGCATAAGCAGTAATAAACCAGGTGGCTTTAGAGCGAGGGCGAACAGTTTGCGGGGCGCCGAAACTCCGGGCCAACAAAAACCGACCGAAGCATTACTACAAGAACTTACCAAGTATTACAAGGTACGTACCGACTGAAACGACCGTAGTCTACGATTCGTCTTTCAGATCTTAACATTTTACGGAGTCGACATACAAGTAATCTCTCAAATATTCAAGCAAATCTTCTATTTCATCTGCGCGTGTAGTCTCAATAATCTGTTGTTAAGGAAGGAACTGTGCCATTGGTCTAAAGGATTTCAAGTCAGACATAATTTATCACATCTGGAAATGTGGACGCGGGAGAAAAAATTAGATGTATAACGTACAAATAGTTAGTTGGAAATGTTAACCGTTGTGCCATTTCTAGGAACCTGCGATTCAGGGGAGGTTACAACCGATTATACAAGCCGCACATCTTTTGCAAGCGAGAAAAACTATGGAGGATGTTGATAGCATATGCGATATGTGCAGCATGTTAAGCCCCTTCCAGATTAGTAAAATATTAAACTTGTACACTCCCGTTGATGACTATGAACAGAAAGTGCCGGTTGAATTTATTAAACAAGTACAAAAGAAGTTAGAAGAGCGAGCCGATGCCCAAGATCCCCAGGTATGTATGCTACTTGCCTACTTTTTACATAAAGATAATCAAATGAATTTGATAAATAAATGTGACTCACCATTTATAAGAAGATCACCAATTAGGGTCCAATATTGAAAGTTGAATTTAATATTTAATTATATCACATTTTCACTATAAAAAACTGCAAATTAAGTTCAATTGTGTGAGGTTAGGTTTTTGAGGACAGCTTCGAAAAGAGAACTAATTTCTGATTGGTCGAAACTATGACATAAAATATCAGCGGTAATTCAACAATTTTAAACAGTAGTTCTTACAGTGGGTCTCGTAATAGACACTACCTTGTTTGTCCCTCATCTATACCTATATCATTGGATTTATAAATATAGTTATAAATGCAAAGCTTATAATACATATAAATGAGGGACAAAGCACCCACACCTAGGCAATACATCTAACAGAAATCCTATACAAAGTATACACACAGCGCGAATGAAACTGAAATCTGTTTCGCGTTCACGCTTTGAAAAATTTGTATTTTTGGTTTTTTACATCGGTACAGTGTAAGAGTTCTTTTATGTACATGGTTTAGAGCGACTTGCGCTGATTAAGTAGGGAAGTTTTTATTAATTGGCGTCGCATTGTCATTGCCTGTATTTTCGATCGCTCTGTATATTAAATACAAACAAAAATTACTATATTATAGTTTTGTATATACCTATTCAATGCACGGTCCAATAAAATACAATTAATTATTATTAGATTAGGACACCTGGCGACGCCACCAGTGGCGCTATTGGTTACTATGGGAATTTTGTTTTTACCATTTTGAATTTTTTTGGATATTTTTGAGCACCATTATATCGCTACATTAATTATTACTCTTTTTTTTAAGACTCTGCTGATGGACATCAAATTCGTATTTCCGGTGCACTTCCCATTTGTCTCATCAACAATACGCTTAGAGGATATAGAGATTCCGGACGTTTTAAAACTACACACGCTTCAGAAAGTATAAATTTTTTCATTGTCGTGTAGGAGTAAGATGAACTTAGAAATTAAATGCAATCGCAGACGGCGAACCGAATAAATGAAATGGTAGACCTCGCCCAATGTTGTTGTATTTGATTTGTAAATTCGTATCGATTTATGTAAAGTGTAATATTTATTCCAATAGCATATTTAGTAAGCACAAAATGTTAAATAACTCTTGTACAGTATGTGATAGATTTTTGCTTCAATGTACACTTCGGAGAAGTTTACCTATTTGAGCCTTGCATATCTTTTAGTTGGTTAACAACTACCTACAATTTGTTACTTAGATGTATAGTTCCTACAGCTTATTTTAGAATCTTTATGTACAGTTGAAAATCTATAAGACGTTGATATTAAGAAAATTTTATTAAACAATGTTCTAGTTTGTTAACATTGATCAATTCGTTCAGTATGTATTCCTATCGAAATCTTTTTTGACTAAGTTTGATGTGTATAAAATAGAAAAAAGAAATTGTATATTTTTGATTGTTTTATATAAAAAATGTCTTATTTACAATAAATACAATTAAGAAATCTTAGTACCGCCTAAACTGTTTTTTAAATTTTTCGTAATGGTAGTCATCCGTGGCCTTTTCTATTTTCTTAGGTTTGCCTTTATCTCCTCCTTTATTCTCTACTTTGTTCTTCTTTTTAGGCAAATCTGTAAAATCTACATTGACTGAAAGCAAAGAAGGTATGAATGGAAGCAACGTTCCGAACCACAGATCTACTCACAACGGCTATGATGTGCAAAATTGACTGCCATGTTTGTAGGGACAAATTGTGATGGTCCGTCATTGTTGCTATTTTGTTCAAATAGCAACTTCAGTTTAGCTTCTTCAGTCGCTTCAATGTTTTTAATTTTAGCTTCTATACCTAAATCGACTTCTGGAATTCCACTTAACATTTGATTTGATAACATTTCTTCGTTCTTCCGCGTGGAGGATTCACGTAAATGATTAGGGACTGCTTGTAAAGCGGCTTCTTCCGGGCTAAGATATTTGGGTTTCTTCTCAACTTCCTCTTCCACTACAACTTCTTCAGTTTTATTTCCTTTCCGTTTAGCCAACTGCTCTTCAATATACTTCATCATTTCTTCATCCTCATCTCTCTTGTTGGTCTCCACGGAAAATTGAGTACCGATTCCTGTATCGTATGCGTCGTCCACCTGCTTGAGTTTGCCAGTACGTAATGCCTGCATATTGACCATTCCCCCCATTTTCGATTTGAAAGAATCCTTCTGAAATATTTTCGTAAGTTAACGGACCAGGCAAATAACCTTACTGACTGAATTTCCGTCGTCATCACCACAAGATTTTACTCCCAAAACTAACCCACTTATACTAATGCCTTTCTGTCGTCGACGTAAGTTTTGTAGCTCCTTAGTTTCTTCAAGCTTTAAACTGTAAGAATCAATAAATACGAAAGCTATAGTACTACAGTTAGGAATAATGTTACTTAATTACATTAAATTATCTTCGGTTTCTGAATCTTCGCTTTCGTTTGATAACTTCCGCTTTCTCAATTGCTTACGTTTTTTAAACTTAAACTTCGCACCTCCGCTTTCATTTTCTGCTATGTTATTTTCGGGTTCGGACATTTTACTCGCTTAATACTCACTATAAGAAAGTATTAATTTTTAGGTTATAAAACCTGTAGTAGGTTAGATAAACGGTTAGAAGAACTACTTGGATAATTATTTGAACTACGAATGCGCGATATCAACTACTATATAGTAATATTCAAAAGTTTTCAGCGGGAAAGAATATTCTTGAGCCTGTAGAAATAATTGGAGGGAAGAACGGAGATAAAATTGGTACATTACTTAATTGAGATCATTTAACTAAAAATGGGAGTAATTCAATTACGCAAGTGCAATGCAGTTGCGTTTTGTATGTATACTGCAAAAGTCGCAGCGCTGAGGGCCCTTTCAGCAGACAGGTTCCTTATACACTGCCCTTTTTGAGCCCCAAAAAAAAATTGTCTCAGATCGACCCGGAAAAAAATTTTCCTATAGAATGTGGCCTGTAGAATCCATAATTTCAAACAGTTCCAAGATTGGGCTACTAGTTCAAAAGCCTTTTGAATTTTTTTTCGAAATTGGTTTCTAGTCAATAACTTGTGGTTGAGAAGTCTGATCGAAAAAGTACGAATTGATTTGGATTCTACAGCCCTTTGAATTTCCTTTTGAAATTGGTTTCTAGTCTATAACTTTTGATAGAGAAGTCTGATCGAAAAAGTACGAATTGATTTGGATTCTACGCACCCAAATTAATAAGAAAAAGTGTTCTCCCGAGAAGTTTTGGTGTAGTTGATTTTTGGTAAAAAAGGAAGGTTATACACTGCCTTTTTTTGAGCCCCGAAAAAAAAATTGTCTCAGATCGACCCGGAAAAAATTTTCTTATAGAATGTGGCCTGTAGAATCCATAATTTCAAACAGTTCCAAGATTGGGCTACTAGTTCAAAAGTTACAGCCCTTTGAATTTTCTTTCGAAATTGGTTCCTAGTCTATAACTTTTGATTGAACACTTCAATTAAAATTTTTGAACAACCTAACATCAACTCCAGAAACGCGTTAATAATTTATTAATAGTGCAAGAAACTAAATACAGCACATACTTATAAATTTCCAACGGACCATTATGATCTACAGGCCAGGTGGCAATCGCCCCCCCCCCCCGGGCCAGTCCGCCCCTGGGTTCCGATCGATTACACCTAGAAATTGCTCCCTCCGTTGTCACGTGGATGAAAGATTGGGTGACCAATCCCCGGTTCAGTGGCGACAAGCAACCGGGATAAAACAGTTCACGGCCTTTTTAACATGGCCCCTTGGCAAAACTGGGTCTTCTAAGCTTCTAAAACGGAATGAAAGCTAGATTAGGAAGATCACCGGTGCCCTTACGGGGCACTGGATGGTCAACCATCACCTGCAGGTCCTGTAGCGAGTCAGATGATACTATTGAGCATGTGGTCGGTTACTGTGACACTTTGATCGGAGACCTCCAACATTTTAGTGATGTAGAGACATCAACAGCATTAGAAAGTTGAGAAGCTTTTCGACTACGGCGTTTTTATCGGGAAAATTTAAATATGAATTTTTAGGGGCATTCGAAAGTGGGAAAAGTTAAGAAACTTGGAAACTGCACGTCACTGACAGACTAAGTGAAGAATATTGCGCAGAATTATAGCCTGCGCATTGGCGCGAATAGTGTAGGCAGTAGGTAAGCATAAGTACTGGTTGGAACCCATACGAAAAATTATTTTTAAGGGTTCCGGTACCGTTGACTTCAGTAATTTTTGATTCCGGCCCCGGTTCCAGTTTTTAAAGGTTTCAACTTCAGCTGTCGTTTCACTATTGCTTTCTTCAGTGAGGAACGGTTTCGGTTCCAAGTGAGGGACATTGTTTTAGCACCAGTTCCAACCCCTGCGCATAAGTAATCTAATACGGTGCAGTAAAACGAGTTTGTATTATAAGTGGATTCCTTCATTTTTACTTTTTTTTCTGTTAGAATTCTAAAATCCAGTTCAATAGACATCTCGAACAAAAAAGTAGGCAAACTGTATCTCTGGGATAGGTTTACTATTTTAAAGTATTCAAGTTTGGTTTCAATGTCATAGCATCTTATCTTACGATTTTGAAGTCTTTTTAGGATCCCTTTTGTCAGAAAGTATTTGTCTTCTGAATCTTCTTAAAATTTTCAAAACTATTTGAATCCATAGAATCTTCTCAAAGTCTTCATAGAATCTTCTGAGCATCATGTTATGTTAGATCTTCTTAAAACTGTTACACTTTTTTAGAGTCTTCAAAACCTCTAGAACTGCAGCATCCCAATTCTTGACGCAATTGTAATATGAGGCCGAAGTGTTTATCAAACAAAGTCAAATCTTTTCCTTAGAACCTTAAGATCATACTAAAATCTTTTTTAATGCAGTTTTCGGCGATATTTTGCGAACTAAATAATCTTATAATCATTTAAGATTTCCTAGAGAAACCCAAGATTTTGCTCCCATAACTCAGGTTGTTGCTCCAAAAACTATGATTGAGCCAATATGGATGTTCTTACTCAAAATTATCAACACTAGAATAAGGGATACTAAAATATCTACCATGAAATACCGTACGTGAGTTAAGTTAGATGTCTAAATTTTAGCGTTTTCTTGAAATTAAGACAATAAAAACTCGCGTGTATGTTAATGAGTGGCAAATACTCTTCATGTTAAAGACCTCAAACGGAGTTCATCACACAAAGATTTCTTAAAACTGATTTCAACTTCAGTGGTCAAAGGTGTGTTTAATGTTAGGGTATAAACTTACCAACTCAAAACACATACAAAAGCGAATATCTGCCCATTTCCGTTTCCTTTCAAGTTCAATGTTACGGGCAACTGCTTAAGGTTATTTTTTTACTTCGTCGATTTCGTAGATATCAATCTAGATTTAATTAGGTATGTGAATCGTATTACAGATTAAATTAGCATCTAGTTACAGGCTACATGTAATTGTTGCTGTCGCACAATACAAATACATGTCCAGGACCTCCGCTAGTCAAAAGTCGACAGCGTTTTAAAACTCAAAGTATAGCGCTCTTCAACCCCCAATCATGCGATGGGCCTCGGGAAAGGAGGAGGGGGTAGAAATGGATTTTATTTTTCATTACAGGTCTCAACAAAAGGAACTGTTCGCTACCAACTATCCCCCTTCTTTCTTACCTCTTATAATCATAATCGTAATCATAATCATAATCATAATCATAATCATAATCATAATCATAATCATAATCACAATCACAATCACAATCACAATCACAATCATAATCATAATCATAATCATAATCATAATCATAATCATAATCATAATCATAATCATAACCATAATCATAATCATAATCATAATCATAATCCTTATTTTCTCCCATTACTGTACAAAGTTATGTTATTTTTAAATTACAATGGGGGTTTACAGTGTAGTTGAATTCTGCAGTTCTAATTTAATAACCGTGTACCTGAAACCATAAAACATTTTTTTGGACAGTAAAAGTTTATTTAAAAATAGAGGCTGAATAGCAAAAAAATAATGAACATGTGCGGTTTTAAAGGTTTATTCAAAACGATATGATTGTGGCGGGCTCTGTGACGTAATAAGCCCGACCAATCAGCTCCTAGAACCATTCAGATGACATAACGACTTGGCAATATTGCAGGAGAATGGCATTTATAACTTGCGTCATCTGTCACAGGCACTTGTCACTTTCGTGCTAGATGCAGTTAAACATCCCTCTCAAAACGTCAAATGTGACAAACGTCAGACCCTCGCGTAAGGTTGCCAGCTCACTTCTACGTGATTGGTTGTAGGTTTGTGACGTATTTAGTCTGAAGCGTTTCAAATTCGGACTAAAAACACAGCTTTTCAATAATTTATTTTGGGTTTATTTTACTCGCAAATAAAAATTGAGGACACACGGGTCTTTTTATTTTTAATGTACTTTGTGGATCAGAAATAAAAAATAAAGGCGGGATGAGCCCATTTTTGGAGAAGGTACACTTATTCTAATTATAAGCGCCCCATTATCAAAAGAGGGCTTGATGGTTTTCTCCTTCATGGCACCCTAATGGAAGGTCTCAATGAAAGGAATTAATTTTTACCAACCTCCTCGTACCCCGTACAGTGATCGGTTATAATTCCTTATATCTCAAAAGCGGATTCTCGGAGGAGGGTACTCCCAAAGAAAGATTAGGATGTTTGGAAGAAATATATCCATTGATGATGAAGTCAAAACTTTAAAAACGAATATCTCGGAAACGGTATATCGGAAGAAAGTACTCATAAAGATAAAATGAATCGTCTGGACGAGACACATCTATTGCGGAGTCGAAGCGAATACCTTAAAAACGAAGTGTCGAACGAGCGTACTCATAAAGGGCAAGTGGAAAGTCAGAACGAGACACATCTACTGGCAATGTCAAAACTTAATTGTGAATATCTCGAAAATGTTTGAGGAAAGTACCTACCTACAACGGGAAAACACTATTTAGGAGAATTTCTCTAAGGACTACTTGCACTATATAGCGTAGAATTTGAATTTATGCCAAGCGGCCTTTAACGGTTCATGTATCCCCTCCCCCATTAATCCTCTAGTAAGAATGTAAACATCGATAATTATAGCACCTTATAACCGAACCATTTACTAAGCTATTTCGGTTTTAAAAAATGCACTTTATCTGCATATTTTGTGTACCTAACAGAACCATCATAGGTTTTACAGTTTCCTTTTTCTTAATAGTCACAACGCGTAGTAGTCAAATATTACAAGAATCACGACACGAATTTCATGGCGACGTCTTCTTGAGTTAGCCACGCTGTATATTGGTTGTTAAGGGCACTTAAGAGCATTCCCAAAATGTTTGCCCTCCGTATGTTTTTAATAGCCTTCACTACATTTAAAGTACGTAACGCGTCTTTAAGAAAGTTTTTTAAAATTTAATTTTTAGAGCTTGTAGGATCTCTAAGCGCACTGACAGGTATTTAAACGTCTTTAAAAGCGATTAAACGTCACCAACAGTCTCAAATGGCTTTAAAAACCCTCATGAGATCAAGTTGCCATGATACGATTAATATAATACAAATAACGGTTGTGTAGAAATTAATATTCAAAAAAGCGCTAAAGAAGCCAAGAAACGACGGGGAAATTATTAATCACTGTGGAAATGCGTATAATGATATTTCAGTGGCAATTGGAAGGCCTTACTATAATCTACTTTATCCACTTTATCTACTGAAACCCTCTATAAGTTTTAGTATGGTTTGTGCTTGTTAAAAAAATGGTTGTACACTTAGACCGGATATACATTACAGACGTAATATACAAACCCAAGAGTTTCTTTAGGTCATTAAGTATTCTTCTAAAAGAAAAGAGATTGTTGGAAGCATTTAACTATCTAATACTCAAAGTACCTACATTTCATTGACACTTCGGAAACGGTGCTTCTAATGTTCAGAAAATATTATAGCACAAACGAAAGGTTAATAGACTGATCTTTATGTCCGTTGCGGCCTGCGGGTTATGGGCTTTACATAATCAAAGTACTGTGCTTTTTCTATACCTTAAATTAAGAGGTTTAAAAGTAAATAAAGACGAAGAATCTAAATCTTCTTGTTAAAATCTCCAAGCCACACGACTTCTTAATGAGATCCTCGTAAAATTAACTTCGATGCCATTGCCAAATTACATAGGTTGTGCTTCTGTGGCTTCGGGCGATAATTATACCTACTAACGTACTTGTTATTCCTACTTTTTGTAACATAAAATATATAACAAAACTCGTCTGGAATTTCTGCACTCTCTTAACGCGTATATATCCCGATTGCCTTTGAGGTACGTTTTAGTCGATCGCGTCTCATCTTCAAGAGACGTTTCGCGAACGATTACCAGCAATTAAGAAAGTGAATAATTACAGACAGAATAAATTATTCCATTTAAATACCGTGAAGCGTTATTGTTATACGTTAAACGGAAATATTTACGTCGCACCTCTTTTCCTAAACTAATTATGTGATTATGAGGGAAGAAACGATGATTTTTGTGATAATTTTGTGCTTTCATTTTGGATTTGTTAACCCTTTAACGATCGACAATCAACTCAGTGTTGTACGAAACGGTAAGTTTGCAAATTTGAGATGACTTAACTGTTAATTTTTTTGCCAGTACTGGTTTGCATAACTAGAAATATATTTTTGTAGATTGCTATGAAAGATTAGCTTTTGGGCAAAAACTCAATCCGCATGAAGTCGACAAGGAATTTCAATTGTCCACGGTTCAAGAGTGCCAAATGGCATGCACGGAGGAGGGTGATAAATGCAGATCTTTGAGTTTTGGGTAGGTCCTTAAATCTAGTACTATACGCACTTTTCATAACCAGTGTTCCCTTTCATTTTGGAGATGGGGGTAGTTATAGTACCCAGAGATTTCAATTTCTGCACGTAGGCAGCTTCGTATGCATCAACGTTGTACAACTAAAGTACCAGTTCAGGTACATTTCAATTGAAATATTGCTTATTTCAGGGTCGGTGTAAAAGGAAACGCGACTTGTTCCTTGAGCAGACACTCAGTAAGGGAAACCCCGGATCTTAAACCCATTGGGACCATCAGCGACGTTGATTATGATTTGTATATTAAAAAACTGGGTTGCAAATTAGTATTAAATGAAAACCAACCCGCTGACTCGAAACCCCTAGAAAATGGTCACAGAACCAACACAAGTGTATCAGGGGGCTATCAGAATTCACGTGAGCCGTATTTCGCTAATAAACCGTATCAGGTGCAGTCATCAATGATTGGTGTTGCATCAGGTTCCAGTTATTCTGAAGAGCCGTTACGTTACGGCATAGGAAAACCTCACTATTTAGGATCTTTTAATCACTACCCACCCTTTCGCCCAACGTATCTCAATTATCCGTACGATCATCGCTACTCTCACCAGAGTTACCAGCCGCAGTCAAACGATCGTTTCGATTTTGATCCCAGCCCTTATCTCGGACCATCGTATAATCGATTTGAGACCAAACCGTTGCAGGGTTACCATGTTAATAATGTACATAAGCCTCACAAAGTTCCGTCAAGACCCTTGGTCGAAAATGAGCATGAATCATTTTCAAGACCACCAATTCATCGACCAGAAAGCAACTACGAATATAAACCTTTTCGCCCCGAAACCGTACCTAATCGACCCGAGCATTTCGGTCAACAACCGCTCCCAATCAATAATTATGGCTCGCGACCTCAACGACCCATAAAAATACCAGACCGACCGGATGATTACTTTTACAAACCAAATCCTCCTCGACCACATCCCCTTGACGAAGGCATAGGCCAGTATGGTACCCGTCCACAACGACCTCAACAATTACCAAACAGACCTGACGATTATAACTACAAACCCCCTCAAAGCGTATGGTTGGATCGTCCAACTATAGTAGGCTATGGGACGACTATAAGTCATCGACCAAATGAAATACCCGATCGCCCGGTATATATTCCAAAACCGAGCCGACCCGAACCTCCCAACGAATACGGTCCAACCCTTCCGCACCGCCCAATCAAAATCCCATACAAGCCAGACAACTACGACTACCTGCCCGATGCTATCAAACCAGGAAGCTACCGGCCTCACCTTATTGATAAATATGACACGATTAAGCCGTATCGACCAGGCCACTCGGACTATGACGCGCTCGCTCCAAATCGCCCCATTTGGGCGTTAGATTACGAACCCCAGCGCCCATTTAGACCGCATCGTCCTCAAGCGAACGGCTACCAAGTGGAAGAACCAAACGTGTACGAGGCGAAACCTAAATATCCCTTTGAGGACAACAAATCTGGCAATTCCACCCCGTACGGAGGGACAATAACGGCGATAATGACAGAAATAAAAGCAGGTAAGTTTCGTACTAATAACAAACGAAATTAGTGGTTCAAATGTATTTCGCACTTACATCATGGGTTTACGATAAAGATCTTTTCCAACTTTTAACAATGAATGCATTTGGTTGAAGGTTGCTGTAACCTACAACAATGTTCAGATAATTATTGTATATTACACGTTTACAAATCTTTTAATTTTATTCGGCTTTTAATCTGTTTAAATTCAACTAGATATAATTTTTTGTTGTAATTATGCGCGTTGCGTGCGCCTTGCAATAATCATATTCAAACTGGATGATTTCCTGTTATATAAATGGAATCGTCCTTTATGCAGGACATGAGTGAAACGGCCGTGTATTTTTAATTTAAATGTTTAGGGCGGTATTAAAAATGTGTAAAATTTTTCTATTTCAATGCTAGGCTACTAGAGAGCTACAACAATTATTTTACGATATAATCATTGAATATAATAATTATTCAATGGTATAATTATGAATGCTACGTTTTTAATGTTTGCAAAAATTGCTTTTAAAGTAAGTAACTTTAAATTGGAAGAATTTTTAAGATACAACAAAGATTCTTTAAAATCTTTCATTTCTTGATATTCAGTTCCATTCAGTTTTTCAGAGTTTTCAATTTTTCCAATTGTTTAGAATGGTCTGGTTTTTAAATTCTTTAAATGTTCTATGCTCTCCTAATTCATCAGTTATAGTCCCATTTTTCAGTTTTGAACTAAAGTTCTACAAGTTTCTTCAGTTTTTTGAGTCCTTCAGAACCACGAGTCTCTTAAAATTTTTTGCTTTTTGCAAATGCTTCATTCAGATTCTCACGTTTCTATGGATGTCTGAATTTTTCCGATTCTTGAGATTTTTATAATTCATCAAATCCGATCAGACTCTTGGGATACCTACTTCCAATTTCCAGGTATTTGACACAAATTCGTCAAATTCTTAACTTAACAGACGGACACCATCGACTCCCCTATAAAGCTTGCATCACTTTACCCTGCTGCCCAGATGTATTTTCGAGCCGTCAATTTTTTCGCGGCTAACTGAATGGGAGCAGAGCTGGGCAGTATTCGATTTGTAAATACTTTTTAGTATTCCAATCCTTTAAAGTATTCAAATACTTTGTAATTAAATACTTTTATGGAAGCAGTATTTGTATTTGTAACTGAAATACTTTCACAAATATTTAGTATTCGAATACTTCGCATAGTATTTGAATACTTAACCTTCCTTCTTTTACCAAAAATCGACTACTCCAAAATTTCTCGGGAAAACACTTTTCCTTATTAATTTTGGTGCGTAGAATCCAAAACAATTCGTACTTTTTCGATCAGACTTCTCAATCAAAAGTTATAGACTAGAAACCAATTTCGAAAGAAAATTCAAAGGACTGTAACTTTTGAACTAGTAGCCCAATCTTGGAACTGTTTGAAATTATGGATTCTACAGGCCACATTCTATGAGAAATTTTTTTTCCGGGTCGATCTGAGACCATTTTTTTTGCGGGCCTCAAAAAAAGGCAGTGTATAATCTTCCTTTTTTACCAAAAATCGACTACACCAAAATTTCGGGGGAAAACACTTTTTCTTATTAATTTTGGTGCGTAGAATCCAAAATAATTCGTACGTTTTCGATTAGAGCTCTCAATAAATAGTTATGGACAAAAAACAAATTTTGCAAAAAAATTCAAAGGGCTGTAACTTTTGATCTAGTAGCCCAATCTTCAAACTGTTTGAAATTATGGATTCTACGGGCCAAATTCTATAAGAAAATGTTTCCCGGTCGATCTCAGACAATTTCTTTATCCGGCCTAAAAAAAAGCCAGTACTTTTAAGTTATTCAAATATTTGGGAACAATTTAGAAATGTTTAGGGAAAGTTTCCATTGTCACAAAATCAAATATAAAAATCCGATACATCTGAATACCGAACTTGATAGTCTACGTAACTTAAAAACAATAGGGACTTTTCTTATATCCTTAAGACCATATGTACCAATTTTCAAAGCGATCGCACGTTTCTAAACAAGTTATCATGCACACGGACAAACGGATGGTCAAAAATGGATCTGTTCCAAAATCGCTAGGATTAATTTCAGAAAGGCGTACGATCGCTTTGAAAACTGGTACACGTATTCTTAAGGATATAACTGGTATAAGAAAGGTCCTGGTAGGTACCTCCTATATAATAATATAATAATAATAATACGCTTTTACTCCCCTTAAATTTGTATATAACAATAGAAATATAAAAAAAGCTAACCCCATACAAAGTATAACTTGATCTTTTAAGTAGTATTAAGCCTTTTATCTAGTATACTATTTTAAATTTTTAATGTATTTGAGTGACAAGTATTTCAATAATTTTTACTGTATTCGAATACTTTTCAAAGTGCCATGTTGGGGGAATCCTGGCCGGACATGGCTACGATTAGAGCCGCCTCCCCTTCCACCGTCCTAAGGTTCATCTCACGTGTGGGATGGCTTGAGTGATGTTGAGGGGTGGGGCGACCCTAGTCAGGGAGGTAGTACAAAGGGCCCGAATTTGAGGCCTAAGTACGCGTGGACACTGTTCACCCTCCTATCGTAATCCAGAATCCAGAAACTTTTCAAAGTATTCGAATACTTTTTATAGTATTTTTTTTATTTTTTAAAGTATTTGGATACTTTTCAATGTATCTGTATCTAGTATTCGCTTATGCTGGACGTAAAAGTATTTAGTATTCAAATACCTTTGATTTGTGTAAAGTATTTACTATTTAGTATTCAAATACTTTTTGAAAGTATTCTGCCCAGCTCTGAATGGGAGCGAATACAGCAGAATTATTTGGAAGGTGAGAAATAAACCACACTTAGGTACGGGGGGTTATTTAAAATTAGTTATTTAAATTCTGCGCACTTTAGGGCAGAGTAGCATGATCAGTTTTAATTACTCCAAGATTACATAAGGCAAATCTTCAAGCACGTTTAATTCAATATACGGCAAAGACATTAATTACATACCATTTGCATATGACCTACTATTTTGCATTAACAATTAAACACCATAGGTGTATAAAGCTAGGTATTATATGGCTAATTTCCTGTTCCACCGTGAGTCCATCACTTCAAACAGGATATGAACAACAGAATTAAGATATGAGAATAAATTCGATGTGAGTAATTTGGATAACCTTGCTGGCTGAATCTTCGCGGCGAAGGCCGTCGTTTGAGAGATAATTTTTCTCAGGACTACCGCGTTTTTTATATGGACACTTTACATATGTATATTGTTTCACGCTTGTTTGCGGCACTAAAGATTTCCGTGGATATCAGAATAGCACTAATTTAATAGAAACAATAGACTACAGTAATTGGTCACCTTCATTAAGGATACTATAACTAAACTAATATGAATAACTAACGAGGATAGTCTTAATTTTCAGATTTTGATTGTTGAATTTTTCAATTTTTTAAGGAATCAAGGATTGCGTAGATCTTAATCGATATGTACGTCCGTCTGTACATTGTATCGTGTAGATTTTGAAATTACAACCATTGAATAAAAAATAGTGTTTTTATTCAATGTGTTTCCTAGCTCATACCTGGTAAAAATATCAAAAAACCTTTTGTGCAAATGTCAACTATAAATGTTGCGCATCTACAGAAATTATTTTTGAATATATAGGGTGTCAATACACAGTGGATTTTTTAAATGGAACACCCTGTATATTTTTAGCTGATTCGATGTTATTTTGTAACCTCTGCATTCTATTCACTATTTGGTTTTTTGTGTTTCTAGCATTCTTTTATTTTTTATTATCATGGTCTATACCAATTTATAAACATGTAATTGAAATTGATTAATGTGTAACTATTTTTATGAAACATATTGAATAACCTAAAAACTACTGGGTTTTAGGCGTAGGGCACCCCTTATAAAAATCGAAGAGCACACTATTTATCGAATAGAGGAAATAAAATAGTCGTAGTTCTTCTCCCCCTGAAAAATGTCTACTCTTATAATGTATTTCGTAATATCTGCTGGACACAACGCAAGTTGTATTTTCTCACCACCTCACAAGAACTGGAGGCTGTTGAAAAAGAACCATCAGAACCATATATTGTAAAGTGTTTTAGAGTAGAATAGTGTTTTCTTGCGGAGAAAGCACCCCTAAAAGCATTTAGAATACAAGAAATCAAAACTACCCCACAACTTTCTTCCCAAGGGCCTTATGCTTGCAAGACGCTTTTTTGGAGTAACTCAAAATGTGATGAATTGCACGTGCAGCATCGTAAATTTTCGATTAATGACAAACATTTTTGTAGTCGGTAAACAAATTAGGTTCATAGAATTAAATGGACCATTAAATGGCCATCGAATACTGTAATTGCCAAGTCCGGAAGTAAAGGTAACAAAATCCAAGTTCCAATTCCCACAATCGTACGCAGTTAATAGTTTTTGGTCAGCATTGTTAACACACAAAAAATGTGTATCTCCCACCCGAGATGGATTCGATACTAACAGCAAAACGTATCTATATCCTTGGCAGGAATGCATATAATGTGTGAATAACAATAGTAACGATTCAGTTAGTGTTAGAATGCGTTTTTGTATATGACCGATTCCTATTACATCGAAAATAATCACTGCCTTAGTATTACGAAATTACGCGCTTTTTGTATGCTAATTCGCCTCTTGAGAAAATTAAAACTTGTTGAAACATGGTCAAATTTAATTACATTTCTACAGACAATTGCGAGTTTTTCGCTACGAAATTTTAATCCAGTGCTTGTTTTCTTCATATCGCGATACACAATGAAGAACTTAATTTTATGTGCGAGTGCGATATTACTCTCTACTTTATGTAACAATTTAACGAGTGCCAGTTCTGTTATCATAGTCGAGGATGCCAAAGGTACCCTCTTCTTGGAGGCACCCGGGAACCTTTTGACTAATCGAAATCTGTTAGCCTGTTTCAGACGTGTCCTGGCCGGAAAACGGGCACTCAGAGCGCTGATAAGAAAGGCGGTACCTTGCGAGCGACTCGAAGATTGTCAAAGGGAATGCTCCGATGAAAGACGCTTCGTATGCGAGGGATTTAACTACAGGTACGAAAAAAGTGCATTTTTTTCATTTGCCTTGAATTTGTGAGCAAGTAGAATAACGAGCAGCCTTCAGCGTTATGCGTTATGACAGGAATTAGGTGATTTTCCGCTTCGGAATTATGTAAATTGTCTAATGAAAGATTGCAAGGAAAATAGCAATTTTAAAGAATATCTATCTCTCTTGATCGATAAACTATAACGCATTGTTTGTTTGAAAGAGAAAGTTTTCTTTGAGGATAGCATATACAGAACAATTACATAAGCTATAACACAAGGAGCTTGCACTCAAAATTGAGTGATTTTCAGTAGTTACAGAAAATTATATCGATATTTCTTCATTTTTGTACATACAGGGTGGGCCATTAGTGTGTGGGTAGAAGATTGTGGGTTTATTAACGCACATATTTAAAATTCATTATCGGCGAATATTGAAGGACTTTTAAGGCTACAACCTAAAAATATTTTCAATGGTCAATTTTAGTGTGACTTCCAACCACACACTAACGGCCCACCCTGTATAAGCTTTTTTTTCATTTTTGGTTTTGATTTGAGTCTCGTCCAGTATTCTCACAGTATCCAGCAAATTAACATGAAGTAAAATTTACACGCGTTTCTCTAACCCAGTTTTCTCTTTGCAATAAGAAAATGTCACAATTGAACAGCAGGGGTACCTACTGCGAATAAAAATCACCCTTTATAACAAATCTTCAATTCTCTTGAACTGTAGTACGAATGATCCAAAATGGATCCACCACAACTTAATATCGAATGCTATTCGATTTGCTTTTTTTTTCTCCCAAACACAAAATTAAATATAGACGTCTCAAAACAAGAGGAACTCTTCCTCGAATTACTGGCAGGACTTCTATACTCGTATAACGAGTTTTATTTTGTAAACATTTCAGGTTGGACCCCACAGGGAGAAGCCAAGGAGATTGCGAACTGCTGGACGTGCCCTTATCGCGATTGGATATCCGTGAAGATATAGTTAGTGATTCCGAATACGACTACTACGAAAGAGATCGAAACAGTGAAGGCCCGGACTGCAAGGGAACAAGATATTATGGCACCTACTCCGATAGAAGAGAGGACATCAACTACTATCCCTACGATAGACGCAGAGATTACGACAGTGATTACTTTGACAACGACGATCGGTACTACTACAAATACAGACGGCCCTATCCCGACAGCGATAATGATTTTTTCTATTACGATGATCGTCGTGGAGGTAAGAGTGAGTGCTTTGGTGTTATTGAAGCACAAGTTTCTAATTGTCCACCATTGGCAGGCTATAAGTACGAGCGAGACGACTACGACTATGATAAAACGGACAACTCGCGCCCAGATTATAAATCCTACGAGCCTTATTTACCCTCCTGGTACCGCGATCGCAATATCTACGACAGAGACAAATGGTACAAGTACTACGAGGATAGGTTAAAGGACAAAGAGTATTGGGGGTTTAAGGACCAAGACGAGACGTGGGGTGGCTACGGAGGTTCTTACGGCAACTTTGGAAAACCCTATCCTACCGACATTCCCAAATACTACCCCTATTCTAAACCAAACGGAACAAAGTACTATTTTTTTCCGGACGTAGAAAAGGACTCGAATGACTGGGGTCGCTATGGCGGATCGTACGGGTATGGGGGATATCGAGATGCGCAGTCCAATAATAAAGACAGTTACGATTATTGGGGATTGAGCAAATTGGACAATGGCCTACTACCCCCTTACCAATCAAAACCGGAATACACCGGAAGTTATTTGCCACCGTACGATAAAGGCCCAGACTTTTTAGGCATTCAACATGGATATGACGACTACATTAAAGATCGTAAGTGATTCCGTACAAGGTGCTCTTTACCACGCTCATCTTTCAGAATGCTCTTTGAGAATGGCGACCGGCTTCCGCTTGAACAAAGGCACCATTAGGAAGATTATATCGGTTCCCCATATTTATGAATGTGAGGTACTCTGTCATAAAGAATCAGATTTTCCTTGTTCCTCTTACACATTCAGGTAAGTTACTAATTTGATCGATGATTCTACCATGTGTGTTTTAGGTATACACTGATCAACAATGCTCCAAAAGAGAATTGCCATTTAAGCGACCGAGATTACAAAGACCTTGATTATTATACAGATTTAGAGCCGGACAGAGATTGTGACGTTTACACAATAAATAACCGAAATAGTTGCGTGCGGCCTATTACCAAGGAAAGTAGTGGTGAGTAGGAGTGGGCGATTATGGATTCGATCAATACAGGGTGTCCCAGGACGAACACCGGCTATCTATATCTCAGAATATTTTGAAAATTACGCACTTTACCTAACTTTTAAACGAAACACCCTATACACGGTGTCCATTTTTCGAGTGCCACTATGGGGATCTCACTTATCTTAAGAGATAGAAAGATGGTTAAATGGGGGCAAAGTTACAAATTTCCGTGCTGAATAAGAATCTGAAAAGAAATTTGAAATATCTTCAATACTTTTAAAAATATCACAAAAAAACGAAAATTTCTGATTTTCGTTTTTAATTTTTTTATGATAAACTACTCGTAGTAGACATTTCTAATTAGCACATTATTCGGACACCTTTCAATGGAGATTTCAAATATCGCATCCTGTTTTTAATTACGTTCAAGATGACGGAGAAACACGTGGCAACTTTAGTTTTTCTTATGGGCGCCATATTGAATTTTGACATTTTGGGATTACGTCTTTTTTTCTCTTTACAACGATATATCACACATAGTGGTTCAGTATCACATTTTTCCTAAAAATACAATTTTTCATTTTTTGAGAAGAGTGCTTTGGAAAAACAAAACGTTCTTTTGTTGTCAACAAAAGTTTGACAGTTTGATCCATCTGTCTGGTTGCAGCGTTGTCAGAGAAGTAGAAATTCGATTTTCATCTCAACCGCTTGCAAAATTGCCTGCTCATATTAATTGGGTCTATCATCATATTGCTGTCTACATCTTTTAAAAGAACCATATTCGCCCAAGTTTTTATGCAGCAAAGAAAAATACCTCAAACTAGATTGTTGCCGCTCTGGATAACGCTGGAAGTATGTTGCAGCAGCCATGTGGGCATTTCGATGAGAAGTGTAGTAAATTTGGATCATATCTCTTTGATCTGCACTTGAAAAAGGCATTTTCGCATTACAACTAGCATAAACCTAAATGACACTACATGAAATAAGTCAACCTTTTGTTCACAACAAAAGAACGTTTTGTTTTTCCAAAGCACTCTTCTCAAAAAATTAAAAATTGTATTTTTAGGAAAAATGTGATACTGAACCACCATGTGTGATATATCGTTGTAAAGAGAAAAAAAGACGTAATCTCAAAATGTGAAAATTCAAAATGGCGCCCATAAGAAAAACTGAAGTTGCCACGTGTTTCTCCGTCATCTGGAGAGTTATTAAAAACAGGATGCCATATTTGAAATCTCCATTAAAAAGTATTCGAATAATGTGCTAATTAGAAATGTCTACTACGATTAGTTTATCATAAAAAAAATAAAAACGAAAATCAGAAATTTTTGTTTTTTTGAGATATCTTCAAATCTATTGAAGATATTTGAAATGTCTTTTCAAATTCTTATTCAGCAAGAAAGTTGGCAACTTTGCCCCCATTTAACCAACGTTCTATCTCTTAAGATAAGTGAGATCCCCATAGTGGCGCTCGAAAAATGGACACCGTGTATATTATTTTATTTTAAGATTCTACGTAAAATTTCACACACATTTCATGTACAATTACCTACACCTAAATTCAGCTGTTGTTGAAATATTTTAATTTTTATGTTAAAATGGACTTTTTGCAGCCCACATTTTTTCCTTCTATGTCTAAGAATACGTGTACAAAATTTGGTTCCAATCGGTTCGGCCATTTAGTCGGAAATAATAGTACAGACCGACAGACCGATAGACATCATCAAGATATTGTTGAATTCGGATTCCTAGTGCTTCACAACTTGTATTTTTGCCAAAAATGAGGAGGGGGTCATTTTTGGCCCCAATGCAATACCTCCCCTTAACTAACGTGCGGGTGGTAAAAATGAGAGTTATCTAAAGCAATCACTGAATCTATTATTTTTATTACAAAATCGAAACCCGACTGTCGATTATTACCACCCGCACGTTAGTAGGGAGGTATTACATTGGGGTAAAAAATAACCCCCCACTTTTTTTATGGAAATACACGTTTTGAAGCACCAGGCATCCGAATCCAACAAAATCTGGATGAAGTCTATCAGTCTGTTCGTCTGTACTCATTTCCGGCCAAACGGCTGAACCGATTGGAATCAAATTTGGTAGATATATCCTTAGACATAAAAGAGCAGAATACATGTGCTAGCCACAGCAAATTTTGATTTTTTATGCAGCGTCCACATATTTCAGATTGTTTTTGGCGAGTGAGGAGCGGACAACGTTTAGACCAGCGAGTGGTTAGAGACACCCTTACAGTTAAATCCATCGTCGAGTGTCAGTTGGAGTGCATCAGATCTCATCATTTTACCTGTCGTGCATTCAGTTACAGGTGGGTTTAAATTATCTTGCAAAAACGTATGGATGTACAGTGGATGTTCAGATTATTTATCCGCATCAACATCCACTGCACGTGCCTATTATGCAATTACCTAATTAACTTCTATCCTTGCCATGTGCTCGAGGAAGTTAGCTCGTTGTGAATATACTTTAACTATTTTTTTTAAATATGCGTGTTGCATACTGTGCTTAAACATGCACATACGAGTACATTGAACATCCATTTTACGTTCTGGTTTTAAAAACGTAAATAGAGCATATTATCTGTTATTATTTTAACAAATTAGGTATGGATCTCCCTCGATCGGTGGTGCTATCGATAACTGCCAGTTAACGGATTGGCCCGTTTATGATCTCAACCCCCGTGTTCATTTCATACCCGAAATTGGTTACGAAATATACGAACGGCGCAGCTATGGTCACGGTTGTGAACCTCATTTTGAAATCGGTCACAAACCGATTGCTGAAGATAAAATGGATCAGTTGTGCTACGTCGGGTACGGCACTCAAGCGAAACTACTCCCTCAAGCTACTAAGAAATCAACGTGGACTGCAACGGAAGCGGAGTGCAAGGCCGAATGTACCCGTGCTAGGGAGAAAGGGGACTTTCAGTGTATGTCATTTAGCTACAGGTGCGTATCTACCGACATTAATTTTACGTTAATGCATTTTTCCTTAGACTCCTGGTGCCAAAAGGAAGCGCCAATTGCGATCTATCGGACATATTGCAAAGAGATTTACTGTCGAACGTAGATTACGTTCCAGATCCAAATTCGTGGCTATTCGCCTGGGATCTGCACAATCCCCAATGTGTGTCTGTGATAATAGTAGGCAACACAATTTTCGGGGGAGAACACATTTTTCAAACTGACAAAGAAGGTGGAGGAATTGGACCGTGGAATCGTACGTACACACTAAAACGAAAGTTATCTAACACCTTGTTACAGCTACAGGACGTCCCGAAGATACATGGAAAGTCTACAGTGTAAGCGGTTATCCGTGTAAACGAGGCAATTACTGTCAAGAAAATAAGGTCGCCGGATTTTGGTACTGCGAAATAGACGGGCCTGAGCAGCACTCGTGGGATTACTGCTGTAAACCAGATCACCAGTGCGGATACAGCGAGGGTTTTCCATACCAATGGTGCTACGTGGGTCCAAAAAGAACCCAGTGGAGGAAATGCAACGAGCGCTATTATCCCTACGGTTTAACGGACCGATATGACTATCCCCAAGCGCCCTCTTACCTACCAGAAACAGTATCGAATCATTTACCTCCACTTAATCGCCCCAGTTTTAGACCAGATCGTCCTCCGGTCGAGGACCACTACCTGGATCCTCCCAAACCTGGTGGATTTGGACAGACGCGCCATTGGCCCATATCCTACTTACACAAGGAATTGCCGCAGAATGATTCTCTACCGGATATTGATCCGACGTTTGATTTTCAAAAACTGCCCAAAGCAAGAAACGTAGATAAGAACGAAGCGATCGGAAATGTAATTAAGACCATTCAATCGAACGAGCTTAAGAACGCCGAATACACGGTTTTAACTGCCACCAACAATGCGAGCGATAATCTACCATTCAAAATTCCATTACCGTTGAATCAGTCTCAGGAAAGCGTTGAGTTTGGCAAGTTCGAACCGGTCGATCTGTTGTTACAACCCAACGGTACCACGACAACTGGTTCAAATCAACGAAGAGAACGCAGTGGGCGAACGTTCAGTAAGGGAGTTGTTACTAAAACGAGTAGACCAGTATCTAACGCATCCTTAAGTAAAAGTCGCGAAATGGTTTCTACATAACTGTAGATGAAAGAAACTAATATGGATGGAAGATTGAAAGTTTCGAATTTGATTTTCTACCCATACTGTTTGGGAATGTTTAGGTTACACATCTTTTGAGCTGTTAATTTATCAATTGCTTTACTGTGATCAAATAGCTACCGTATTTTCAACACCTAAGTAGTTTATGTAAGTTAGTAGTATTACTTTGTTCATAATTAAGTGCCTAAATATGTGGTAGTAACGTAATTACTTTATAGTAATTTTTTTAGTACAGTTTAACAGACTATGACGCTGTCCTTTATTTGGTGATTCTGAAATATTATGTCAGTTTTGATCAAATTCTGAGAAATTGTTTGGTTCACACAGTGTCTTTCTAAGTAGACTGAAACAAACGGAAGGAGTGTTGAAGCCTTCCTCCTTCGGGCTGTTCTGAGTTCTACGTTCTCCATCAAAACGAAAATGAGCTATAGAGCTAATTGATTTTAAGCAGCTGGTTCTAAAAACTTCTAAAAAGAAAATGGAAAATTCTGAACAGTATCCACATGTTTTGAGAATGATTTCAAATTCCTAAAAAAGTACCAGGAAACACTGGGAAGGCACCAGAGCCCCCTGCGCACAGTCGAAGGTTTTGAAACCTAAAATAAATTCTTTCCAAAAATGTTGCACGACTTTTTAGAATCTTATAGCGTTTTCCGAAACGGTTTAGGCCGTTTCCAGATATTTTAAATCATTTTTACAACGTAATAGTCCAAATCTTTCTAAAAAGCCTAATGAGTCTCTGGAGAGGTTCGCGAGTATTACAAGCTCTGAAAGATTTAGAGCACCTTTGCTACAGCATTTGATGACCGTAGTGCCTTACCAAGTTTTCTAGCGAATTTCCTGCATTAGAGAAAAGGCTTTCTCGGTGTCGAGCTAGCAGTTGAATTTTGCAAACATTCTAACAAAGGGTGAAATGTACAGGACGTGACTCATCTTTGATGCAATAAAATCCTTCTGTTAAAAGCAAAATGGAAAATTACATGGACTTGTAGGGGAAATTCAATATTACCACAAAATATATATAAAATATTCTTTACACTATGCAAAAAGTAAAAGAAGATGCAATCCCCAATCCCATCTAAAGTGCCAAAGTGGTGATTAGCACTTATGTTCAGGAATAAGTTTTCGTTACCAACGCCGGTACTGTCACAAATTAAGTGGGATTGCTACCTTAGACCGGTCCTGCGTAAAGTTTACTAAAAATAAAAATGAGGTTATGTTATAAGAAATAGTCAAAATTATTTGCAAAAATAAGTATGGCATTGCTGAATATTTGCAGGACATCTTTTAAAAGTTTACCAAAACCGTTCTTTCTCAACAATTACTCTCAAACAGGGCCACAACCTTTAAAAAACGTAAAGGCCGAGCTTATAATCAGCGACAAATGTATAGCACGTTTGAACGATGTTGCGAAAGATACAAACGAATTTTTACGAGTAAGTGTTGAAGGTGGAGGCTGCTCGGGTTTTCAATACAAATTTGAATTGGATTCACATCTCACCGACGATGACAGGTATCTTCCCATCGTTTGCGACACTTATAGAATGAATCCGTTTTAGAGTATTCTCACGTGATGGAGCTAAAGTTGTAATTGATAAAACCTCCTTGGAATATGTTAAAGGAGCAACGGTCGATTATACGGAAGAATTAATTAGGTCCTCATTTAAAATTGTTAGTAACCCACTAGCTGAACAAGGTTGCTCGTGCGGTGCTTCATTTGCAATTCGCTTAGATTAATAGAATTGAAGTAAAGGTATTTTATTTGTAAAATAACTAGAAATATTTCCATAGATAATATAAAATTATATTGGTATGTGGAGAATAAAATAATGTTTATTTTTTTGTGCTTAACTTATGCTTTAAAACTTGAATTTCATCACATTGCCTGGCGATTTTTTCATTTTGAGACGCTAAATGCTCCGTCATCGCGTCTAATTGACTTTTATAATTATCACTCGTTACGTGGAGTTCCTCTATACTTTGTAATATTGAACTTTCTAATCGATCTTTTTCTAATGTTAAATGTTCAAGTCTCGCACACAAGGCGGCGTTTTCTGCCCATAAACTACTCGTTTCTGATTGCGCCGCCTGCTTTGCCTCTAAGAGTTCACTAATTTGAGACTCGTAGTATTCACTAAGCCTTTCGTTCGATTCTGGTTTCGCACGCAACATTTCACATTCACTACGCCATCGCTCTGCCTCTTGCTGCCACATGTTACACTAAAATATTATTTCAAATATCACATTTCAATACTACATACAAAGGTGTAGAAAGGCAACATGTGATTTTGAAGTGTTTTTTAAAGTATACTTTTCTAATCTTACGACAAATGAAGAGGCCATGCTCTTTCCAGAGCTCCCTAGACTCATTGAGCTCTGAACTGAGCATAGCAGTACCTCAAAAGATGCAAATAGCTCACGAAGACAAAAATGCAAATTCCCTCAATTGGTCTATACCATAAAACCTGTCCTTTCGTGCGTTTCATGAAGGTAAGACAGCGACAAACAAGTACAATATTCTCAATGACAGGTTTACACTACGAATTCGCAAAATCTACATGTGGCCCTGCTACACCGTTGTAAGATAAGGCGCCTTCAACTCACTACGTCTACTTTGTCTGCAACACTGTTTTCTTCAACAGGCGGTTTTACATCATTAGTAAATTTCTTTTTAAAATTTTCCAAATTTTCCTTGTGCTTCTCCTCATTAAAGCAAATCTCCTTTTGTAAATCGCATATTTTCAACTCCAACATTTCGATCTTTTCTCTATAGTTCGATATTTCCAAGTCCTTATCGACCATCTGCAAGAGACTGATAACGGCGCAAGTTTGTATGTTATCAACTACTAACCGAGCTTACTAATTCCGCGTTTTCCAAAATCTTTTTATGCAACTCCTCATCGAGAACCCCAAAATCGAATGATTGCGAAGACTTATTTGCCGATTTTTTATTGTGATGGTTCAACTGTAAATCCTGCTGTAAAACGGAGATTCGTTTGGTAAGCTGTTCGTTACGAAATGTGAGACTGTCCATTTCTTGGTCATGCTTACGAATCTTCTGTTCTAAATCCTTAATTAACTCTTTTAGTTCCACGCTTTTCGCTTGCTCGTCTATGACGGCTTTCTTTAGTACAGTAGCCTGCGACCTTACCTTGAAAAACATAATCGGTGGGAATCTAATTGGATGTTATGAAAACTTACTTTTGCATATTCTAGCGTGATAATGTTGTACTTTCTTTCCAGTTCCGCTTGCCTGTCCATTATTTATTTATTACAGAATTGTTGATAAAACAAAGTTTTAAGTTTTACTTGTTGAGGTTATACATTTTGAACAAATTTGACAGGTTATCGATTTTAAATTCTCAGCAAGAATGGTAGCGCCATCTTACTGTATACACGCTAACCATTTATATAGTTTACGTTTGTTCTCACAAAGAAAACATATCGGCGACAGATGACGACACCTTACGTTATACAATTTAAAGATATACAGGGTGTTCTATTAAAAAGCGAAGTGGTCAGCTAAAGTGCACAAAAATTACATGACTTATTGAAAAGGATAGGAAATAATTGATTCGTGAATGATGAAAATCAGAATTCACTGCTGAAAGCCGCATAAAATACTTCAGTTGTTCCAAGGAGGTGTTACGAAATTTGCGCCCACGAACAATGGGGGTTTAATTCTGACACAAAACATAATAGAAAACCTTTTTTGCGAACAACTAAATACTTTTCTAGATACGAGGTTGCAAAAAAGTGAGAAAGAAATGAAGAATTATTTTATATATAAAATAATAATAAAAATAAAACGTAATTGTGGTACGAACTAAATCTACGTTGATGATTCCTTATTCTTATTTGAAGTGGATCCCTATTAGCCCACATTATGTTAATTATGATAATTGAAAACCGAAAGAATAGATACATAAAATAACACCAGAAATGATAAATAATACTATTCAACATATCCAAACACGTCCAGGTCCCAGGAGCATGTTTAGTAGAAATGGTGGATATTTTGAACAGCTAATATAGTTTAAATTTATTCATGCAACAATTTCGTTTTATTATTAGATATTAATCAAAATATAAACAAATTCTTCATTTTTTTCTTATTTTTTTTGGAACTTCGTATCCTGAAAAGTATTTGGTTGATCGCAAAAGTGTCGAAAGGTTTTTTTATTCAGTTTCGTTTCAGAATTAAGCCCCCATTGTCCGTAGGCGTAAATATCGTAACACCCTGTATACCTACATATTAAATACATTTTTGCATATACAAGCACGTAACTACGAAGAATTTTAGATGTATTTTGTCTCCATATACTTTTATTTATATAAGCTTTTTTTTTGTATGAAAAAGGAATTAATTATTGAATTTACGTGGATTTTTTTTCTGATCTAGAGCATAGATATCTCGGAAATTAGAAGAGAGGAGAGGCGATCAAATAAGAGATGCAATGCCGAAATGTATACACTGTGTCCAAAATAAGTATGTCTATTATGGGGTCTCGGAAAGCGTAGGAGATATCAGTGTCAATTAGAGAAAAACTGCGCAATTAAACAGTTATTATCGTGATGTAAACAAAACTAGAAAATTCCGATTACTTCCGGAAATATGCCGATTTAGTTTTCATTTTTTTCTGATATTATTTGATCAAAACAAAAAATAAAAACCACTTTTCATTGCCCCTTTTTGAGCTCTACAAAATACCGTTGAGAGATTTCGACGCAATTTCCGTCAAGAATGCGAAAATTGTTTAACTATCTTTTAAAAAGTGCTCAAAGCCTCAAATCGGAAAATTCACATCCTTGTTGTGCGCTCTTTTTTTACGAAAAGATTCTGCAATTAATTCCCCAAGAACAGCAATTTTCTCGACAACGGCCATACCACGTTGAAAACACCGGTTTTCGTCCGATCACAGACCTCTTTTTTTTTAATTTTTGCTCGTTTGTCTATTGCTGATATTTACTTTTTTGATTTTAATGTCACAAGGCAACATATAATTAATAATTGTAATTCCTGATTAGAATTAATTTAGTTTTGGCGAACAAAATTTTAGTGTTTTTAACTTTGACATTGTGTTTCTCAGTTTTTGTGTAATAAAACCTGGCACAATTTTTGTAGGTTGTACACAGAAAAATAAGGTCATTTGGATAACTTAATAAAAATATTAGGTTGCTTTTTGAAAAAAAAAGTTCGATGCCATTGCGACGATCCAAAATTTTTTTTTTTAAATCCGGCCCGTTATTTACCGTTTCCGTACACATATCCAAAATTTTATTCTTTAAAAGTTGCTTCAAATGATGTAAAACGTCGACATTTGATGAAATGTCCAAAAAACGGTGATCGCAATAGCTAGCATAGGAAGCTAAAAATTATGCTGCTTAAAGTTTAAATACGATGCACTTGGGATTTTATGGAAGCCTGAGCTGAAATTTGGGAAGCATGAAAAGTGAACGTAAGAATAGCTTGAAAGGGGTTTAAAAAACTTTGCGGCCTTTGGGTCGTTTAAGAGTCATTGCAGGGGGAGATGAGTTAATTGGAGAAAGGAGAGCCAGTGAGAAATATAAAGGGTAACTTCGGGAGAATGGAAACTATACTTTAGAAGGTAACCTAGAAAGTAACGAGATAACAGGAGAAATTACCTCTTATGTTTAAATTGCTTTGAAAATTTACAAAATGGAACTATGGCGGATGTAAATAGATGATTATTCTTAGTTCTTGATTTTCATAGTAGTATATCTGTTACGGTCAAGTGTTTAAAGTTGCGATTATTAATAATGATTGGTGAATGTTAATAACCGGGGGAAGAAAAACACTCCCAATACAATTTCTTTAATTCAATATCTTCTTGATTCCATCGATGGTAGGGAAAGTTCCCGTTTTTGACACTTTATTCCTTTCTACATTAATTACTTTAACTGTAACATACCCATCACCCACAAAATAACGAAAGTTGCTTCTTCAAAATATAGGAGCGAATTTACAGTGGAAAAAGACCCTTAATGTTTAATAGTGTAGGAAAAGTTCTCTATAAAAAAATAGTCCCGTTATTATGGAATCATGAAAAGATTTCACTCATAATGGAAAGTGCATGTAATTTAAACAACTATCTACCGCTAAATTAACAAAAGAATAAAGATGTCCCCAAAGCAAGAGGGCCGTCACGGCGATGGACGACTACTAACCTAATGTAATGTAGGTACTTATAAGTACAATTGATATTCAAGAGATGAACATGTCTTGTGACCTGCTGCAGAATCTTATCTTATTTCCCACGTACGATCTTAAGAAAGAAATAATAAAAGGCCATTCATATTGACCCTCGAGTGGAAAATCGTTTCACTTTATAAAATTTTACGCAATTTCGTGTGCAATAAATCGCGTTACGCGTGAAAACATCCCTAAAAAGATTTCTTAAATCATTTTTAGGTGGACCCCTGTGTGTTTTTATAGTGGTTTTTTTCATCTTTGTTATTGTGGGATTTGAAGTTACCTACTCGTAGCATGAAATTAGAATCAAATTAGAAGAATTATTGATCTACTGTACAGAGTATGTAGCTGGGAGCGTGTGATCTCTTCGGGTTGGCAATGACATATCCGATCAGTAAATACAGAACCAATTTTGCCCATAAGCCCATTACGTTGATAACAGAATGGAACTGACCGGATTATATGTAAATGCACCGCTCTAATGCAAACAAATGCCATTTAGCGGTAATGCACATGTGGGCGAGTATCAAATTAAATAAATGTTGGAAATAAATATGCATCGTAAGTTAAGATTTTGCACCAGACAACGATCTGAAATAACAAAGCATAAGGGTGGTTAAAACCTTTAATTGTCATATGAATGATTACTCTATAAACGGAGGTGACGCTGACACCCACATCGTGACAAATTGTGGACTTACATCCCCCTAACATATTAATTCTGTTCTATTCTCCCTCGCCGCCACATCGCGACTTATTTATGATTTTTTGCGTGTTCTTTAAAATGTATGCATTTGTAGTTGAAGGTAATAGCTGCTACTGACTCGTTCGTCTTATTGGTGCCCTTTCATAATTAATTTATTAATCACACCGTTTATTAACATTTTGCGCTTACCAAACGTGAGGAAAAGTCATGCAATTCTGTTGAAATTGGAAAAAGTTGTCTCAGTGTAGTTTTGTTTCTCATTCTGTTACTAAAACACTATTTTCGCTTTACCACGGTGTTCAGTATTAATTGAAAATTGAAATAAAACATTTCTTGAACTTTGATTCATTGTTATCCTTAGTACACCTGGTCCAGTGGTTCAGTAATTATTTTTCAAGTGATAAAAAGAGATTTGCATATTAACAAACATTTTCAAAATATTATTTTTCTGAAACTACTTTAGAAACAACTACTTTCGTCTGTAAAAAGGGTGAAGAAAATGTAATTTTCCTCTCTAGTGAAGAAACTGAAAAACAATTGCTGCGTTAATCTTAATGACATTTAAAATTGAAACATAGGTACCCTTATCTAGATTGCTATGTATCAAACGTCATTATTGCATACGATAATTTTCCAATTTTGATTGTAGTTTCAGAAAAAATTATGTGTAAAACTTGAGAAGAAAGTGTTTTTCAACTCTCGTTCAAAAGACACACTCGCTACGCTTATGTGTCAAACTTTGAACTCGAGTTTAACAATTCCACTTTCTTCTCTAGTTATACAAATAACTAAATTTCCACGAAGGTTAGTAAAATGACCATTGCAATTCGTTTAAAATGACTATCAGAGTAGTTAGCATTTGTTTCTTCCTAATTTAAGCTTTTCTATCTCGTTCGGGGTCCGAAGTCCAAACACATCACGTTTCTTTTGGAAGTTCCCGTTTTAATAACTTAATTGTTACACAATATTGTGTATACAGGGTAGCGCATGGAAACCAACAAATTTTTTCGGTAGGTTATTCAGTGGTCTCGTCCTTCTCTGAGTCACAACCCTTACAATTTTAAATTGCATAATAAGGACGTAATACATAAGGGCTGCTACTATGATATAAACTACATTTTTTTAGAGATACTCAAGTTGCAAACACGTTCTCGAGTGTTATTCGTTCGAACCATGTTAAACTTATACTGAAAGAATTACCTAGCCCTTTTTCAATGCATCTTCCTGTTCTAGTCCATAATTTTGATTGAGACGTCCAATCGAAAAAGTACGAATTGCTTTGGATTCTACGCACCAAAATTAATACGAAAAAGTGTTTTCCCGAGAAATTTTGGTGCAGTCGATTTTTGGTAAAAAAGGAAGGTTATACACTGCCTTTTTTGAGCCCCGAAAAAAAAATTGTCTCAGATCGACCCGGAAAAAAATTTTCTTATAGAATG